CAGTGTACAATGAGCATGTAACTTTCCAAAACCCTAAGGTGCATTTTTTCTACATAACCTGCTGCGTGTCTCAGCAGCATTTTGCAAAGCAATAGCTTCTGGTTCCATAAAGACCCATGAGATTTTGGCTTCCAATGGGGCTAAGTAGCTCAGAGAAGCCATTTTCTCAGGTTTACAATGAAATCTCATTGCTGGTCTCTAATCATGTCTACTCAGAAAGATTCCTCTCTTCCTTTTTTTTTTTTTTTTTTTTTTTGTGAGGTTCCTACCTGAGAAGAAAACCCAGAGAAGAAGAGATGAGCATGAACCCAACATTGTTATTTCTGGGTTCATCTCTGCCTATGGCCCCGGTGCCACCAGCGTCTCAGCTTTAAGAATAGATCAGCATGGGGTTAATGTCAGGGGTTCCAGGGTTTCTCTGGTCCACAAGGAGCTGGAAGATCTGAGCACCTTTATCTGTGGCGGATTGCAGTGTCATTTCAACTTGGAAGTGCAGTATGAGATGTCAGTTTGTTTTTTCCAGCCATAGCTTTACCTTTCCAGAGATTTTCAATCTCTTTACAAGGTGGTGAAGGTAAAAAGATTTCAAACTGTGAATCTTTTTATTACAAGGCAGGGAAAGGCAACAGTCCTAACTCATGGCAAGGGAACCTCTGCTCAGCTTGTGTATGATAAGGATCTGGGAAGAGTATCCACGCTAATAAATAAGATATGTATCTCCCAAGAACAGCTTTTGCTGTTTTCCTATATGAATCCTTATTCCTTCTGCACCATGAGCTCTCCAGGGCATGGCCCGTGTTACAAAGTGCCAGCTGCATTATCTGATTGTAGGAGATAATAATTATGAGGAATATGTCAGAACAACAGAAAACTTCATTTAAAAAAAAAAAAAAAAAGGAAAACAATTAAAGCTGCCGAGTGACAACCACATACTTATGTATTGCATCACATATTAGTCCCAGCAGCTTCAGTGCGGAGAGCTGAGCAGTTAAGGATGTCCTAAGCCTGGTGAGTCCCACACGAGGTGGGGATTATTCCAGCAAGTGTAGGGTAGCACTCGTTGCATTACAGCAGCAGGATGGGAGGTAATGGCCTTAAGTTGCACCAGGGGAGGTTCGGGTTGGATATCTGGAAAAATTTCTTCTCTGAAATAGGGGGTGAGGAACTGGCACAGGCTGCTTGAGGAGGTGGTGGAGCCACCATCCCTGGAGGTGTTGATAAGGCACTGAGGGACACAGCTCAATGGGCATGGTGTGGGTGGGCCAGCAGTCGGACTAGATGACCTTAGCGGTCTTTTCCAACCTTAACAGTCCTGTGATGCTACAAAGCAAATGCTTGCATGACCCCGCAGGCCCTGTGAGGAGTGGAGGGCCACCCGAAGGTGTCCATCAGCATGCTGCAGGAGGCCATCTCCCCCCCTTCTCCCCCAGCCACTCGCAGCTTTTGGTGAGGCGAGGAGCACGCAGGTGAGTGGCTGAGCGGGGCCCTGTGCTCTTCCAAAGCCTCCAGGGTGTCAGCAGGCACCTTTCTTTCCCCAAACCCGTCCAACCCGTCTCTCACCCGGCATGCTTCCTCCTTAGCGTGTGCTTAAAGCTCCCGAGCAGCCAAAACAGCGTCCTGCAGTGCTCTCACCCCAGCTGTTGCAGGCTCCCTCCTCAGGTCCCAGCAGCCGGTGGCAGCCCCGTGGCAGAGCCCGATCCTCACAAGAGGGTTTCATTGCTTTGACGAAGTATTCCATTTGGACATGAGGAATAGCTTCTTCGCTGTGAGGGTGGCTGTGAGAGCACTGGAACGGGCTGCCCTCAGAGGTTGTGGGGTGTCCTACTCTGGACATATTCAAGACCCGCTTGGATGCTTTCCTTTGCAGCCTGCTGTAGGGAAGCTGCTTTAGCAGGGCGCTGGACTGGGGATGCACAGGGGTCCCTTCCAGCCAGGAGCCTGACGCGATGTTATTGCGATTCAAAACACATAAACAAATAGATGGATGGACAGGGCCACAATCGGAGACCCGGAGGCAGAGGGTGCGCGGGGGGAGGGGCGGGGCTCACCTGGGCGAGGGGCGGGGCGGGGCCTCCCGAGAGGCGGGGCCGGGGCGCGGCGGGGCTGCGGCGGCTCTGCGCTGCGGAGCGGGGCCGCGGGAGGAGCAGCGGCGGCAGGTGAGTGCGCGTTGGGGTCGCTCCGTTCCGCTGCGGCCGGGGAGCTCACGGGGAGCCGCTGGCTGCCCCGCGGCACGGCCGGCGGCGCGGCCCGCGTCCGCAGCCGGCCGAGCCCCGGGAAGGGCGGCGGGGCCCTTCTGCTGCAGTTACAGCTACAGCTGCGCCGGGGCCGCCGGTGACCCCGTGGGGTCTGCGATACTGGGGGGGTAGAGTGGGGAGCGGGGCCCTCCTGCCTCACCTCTTTTTCCACGCTGCCTCCCCGGCCCGCCGGTGCAGGTGGTGCTGGCCGCGGTCTGCCCCGAAATAAGTTGGGAGCAGTTTCCAGAGCAACTGCAGCTATTTTGGTTGATTTTTCAGCTTGAAGGGGCTGGCTCGGGAAGGCTCTAATCCCATTATTTTGGGGCTGTGGAGTGAAATAAGCGCTCGGCGAGGTCAGCCTCGCAGCTCAGAGAGGCGGGGAGGCCGCGATCTGCTGTTGGGGCCGTGGAAACCGGCATCTGGAAAGGAGCCGAGGACCTGTGCTCGTTGTGGCAGAGTGTGCTGAGCAGCTGGAGCTGGGGGACGGGAGCGTCGGGGTGCTTCTGCTGTCCCCAGCCCCTGTGCCACCAGCACAGCACGCCGAAAACCCGCTCCGAGGAGCGGCACTGCAGAGGAACAGCGTCGGGTAAAGCAGCCGCTGTGGCTTCGAGCTCTCAGCTGTGCACGTTTGGGGTGTCAGTGCGTGCACCAAGCGTGCAAGTCTCCACTCTCCTCTAAGGGAAAGAAAGGCAGAGATGGCTCCAGGTCCCCCAGGGCGTGGAGAGGGGTTGCATTCCTCAGGCGCGGGGCTAGATAAGCGCTGGGCTCCTTGCTGCATACTTCTGATGCCTTCTGTGAACTCCAGTGGCACTCAGCAGGTTGTTTTGTAACTTCACTTGAAGCATGCTGTGGGCAGGCAAACCAACTCTGCCCTGTCACCATGCTTTGCATTGAATGCTAAAAGCCCCAAAGGGAGCCTGGGGATGGCACTGTTGGAGCAGAACAGGTGCATCACAATGGCATCGTCTGTTGGGATTTCTCATGGATGGGACTTATAAGGGGTGCAGAGAGGAGGGAGGGAGCTTTGGCTGCTGCTCGCTCTGAGCCAGGTCAGGCTCCAGGGGATGCTCTGAGAAGGCAGCTGGCCTGCAAATGCAGAGCAGTGGTGTTAAAGGTACCTTCCAGCTTTCCCTCTTTAAGTGTAGCCCTGCACGGTCATGCTCCTCGTGTGACAAAAAATGCAGCTTTCTTTTTTTTTTTTTTTTTTTAACATGGGGAGAGGTTGTGTGCCTTTTATCAGGAGTGGCTGAGTGCAAAGCATCCCCAAGCATTCTCGCCCTGCTTATCTGGTGGTGCTGAGGAGAGGGCTGCCAGCTCCTTGCAGTGCAGGGAAGCTCATCCCACTGGTGCTGACTGGAATGCCAGGAATCCCCCCCACCTCCCTGGCACCGTTATCTGCTGGGAGAGCCCCAGCATCGTGCCTGACCCCTTTTGCTTTATCTCCCTGCTGCTACCCTGTGCCTCTGAAATAGGTAAAATGGTGAGAAGCTCCCACTAGCATAAATCTGCTTAAAGCCTTTTTGTAACTTTCTGATAAAAGCATCCTGGGGGATGCTCAGGGGTGAGTCAGAGGAGCACCTTCCCCACAAAGTGAAGATGAAGGGCTGGGACGGAGCAGGCTGTGCTCTGAAACCCATGTCTCCTTGTCAGGGGGTTCAAATCCCATTTTCATTATTATTTCTTCTCTTTGAGAAGAGAAGCGAGTTACAGCTATGCTTTGGTTGCTTTGGATACCTGCAGGCCCAAGTGAACGTGCTGGGGAACTTGCCAGCCTTGCCCAAGCCTTTTGGCAGCAGGCTGGGGCTAGTGAAAGCGGCTGGAGTGAATCATCTGAGGGTGCTTCGTTTGCTGCTCTTTGAGAGGTAGCTTGACCAAAAGAAGTAGTGGTGTAATTACAGAAGATACCAGGGTTACTGCTTGCAGGAGCTTCTGTGCCAAAGTGTAGAACATCCAGGTAGAATGTGCCTTCTACCCATAAAGTGGGGATTAGTGTTGTGGTTGCCTTCACCCTTGTACTATGCTGCAGAGAAGTGCTGCCAGAACATCTGCCAGAGACCCCACTAGCTCACCTCTAGGTTTTAATACTGTCATCCTGTCCTTTTCCTCCTCTCTGATGTGGGAGGTGACCCAGGTATCCCGCTGTCCCTCTGCACGTAGGGGTAATGATGCTTTGGGATTGCATCCAGGTTTAGGTTGTATGCATGGCACCACTCATCAGAGAGTCATAGAATCATTAAGGTTGGAAAAGACCTTCAAGATCACTGAATCCGACCACTAGCCCATCCCCACCAACCATGTCCGTCAGTGCCACGTCTGCATGCAAGGTAAGCTAGAAGGAATCCCTCCTGAGGATGGGTTGTTCTGCACCTAGGTTTAAAGGTGTTAGGGATGCCTTCAGTATTAGCTCTTTGCGTGTGTGGTTTTTTTTTTAAGAGCATCTTTTTAAGGGATGTTCCTCTATCTGTTCTGACTTGTTTATGCCCTTGTAAACCTGTGCAGTCAAATTAAGTCATAAGTGTGTCTACATGCAAGGTTTTAAAGAAAACCCTATTATTGTAGATGACTGCTAACAATTTCATGTCCTTCCATTTTTCGGCTGCCAAGCTCATGAGCTTCTAAAAGCAGCTGATTATCTTGCTTGTTGTTGGTTGGAGTCAGCACTTTCTTGAGGGCTGGGGTGCTTCCAGCTGCCCCAGGCTAGTCATCTAGAATAACTTGTTGCTTCAAAAAAAAAAAACCTCTTACCTGAAGACATGGGTGGGTCAGCCCTGAGCTGGAAATGCTGGAGCAGGCAAATGCTGTCTGAATTTGAGATGGTTTCCTCTGCTGCTTCTTAACCTGCACTGGAGCATAGAACCTGCCATTGCTCTTGATGTTAAGGGCCTCCTCTCCAAACCTCCCCGTGGCCCTAAGGTACCCTCTGTGCTTGAGAGGACTGAGGACAGGAAGGGCTCTGGAAACAGTTTGCAAGTTGGAGCAGGTCAGGTGTCTTTGGTGCCTTGGCACTCGTAACAGCACTTCAGGATCAGATTCCCCTATTGTGTAGCTACCTGGATGATAGGTGGAGGAAGGCCCTGGAAGAGCATTTATAGGGTTGTTGGTGGTTTAAAAGGTTCCTGCCAGGATTTGCTTCTTCAGCAGGTGAGAGCATGTGTTGGGGAGCTCATTGCTGCCTCTGGATGCTTGCCCAAGGCTTCTGGTGATGTGCAGGAGTTGGATGAACACCAGAGGTATTTCTAAATAGGAATAAAGACAAGGTGGTTTTGGAGGATTTGTGGTTGCTGTTTTCACTTGATGTTTTTTTCCAGGTTCTGCCAATGTTTGGAGGTGGCAGCACTCTTTTCTGTGAAGAGCCCAATGTGTCTGTGGGGAGAAGGCTGGGGTGCACAAGGAGGTGACCTCGTAATTCTTGGTGCATTTCCCCACTAGGGAATGGCACGGAGCTGCATTGAGGGGGGGTCAGGTCGAGTGTTAGGAAAAGGTTCTTCCCCAGAGGGTGGCAGGCACGGATCCAAGCTGACAGAGTTCAGGGAGTGTTTGGACATCGCTCTCAGACATGGGATTGGGATTTTGGGTGGCCCTGTCTGGGGGTTGGACTCGATGATTCTTGTGGGTCCCTTCCAACTTAGGCTTTTCTGTGATTCTATGAGACCTGCAGAAGATTGGGCTTAGTTCCACCCAGCAGCAAAGTTTTCTCCTGGAACATGCAGTTCAGTCCTCGGTGTTTAGGTTTTGAATGATCTGAGAGCATACAGAAGTTAGGGTAAAACGTTCAAAAGGCTCAGCTTCCAGCAGCAACCTGAGTAGAGCCTGAACTGCGTGCAGCTTGAACATCCAAACACTTCTGAAAACCCAAGATTTTGTTGCAGCTCGCTGTTCAGGACATTAAAATAGGCCTGGCAAGCTTAATCCTCACTACTTCCATTTGACTTTACAATGCTGTCTTGTTGAAAGAGACTGATTTGTGCGTCCTGCTCTGTGCCCAGGCCCTTGCCAACATTTATTTTTGCAGAGGTGTTAACCAAAATGCAAATGTAGTTTTGTGGATAGCCCTGTGTTTTTGTGCCAGATAAGGGATGGAGTTGCCTGTGAAGATGCACCTTTACTGTAGTGCTCTGAAGAGCTTGTTATCTCCAGGTGGGTCAGGTTGGGACTGATGGCACCTTTGTCTAATTAATCACATGTTGAGGTGATTAATCTGCTGTGAAAGCAGCCCTCTAAAATACACAAGTGTCTTATCAAAGGTTTCAACCTGGATTATTTCTGGGCCTTTTGTTTGTTTGACTCAGTGTCTGTGACGGAAAGAGAAAGAAAGGAGTAATTTCAGCTCTCTACAAATGGTCATTAAAGGCCTTTTTAATCCTACAAAGTTATAAATAAACATCCATGGCAGCGTGCACCTGCATATTCATTAGGGCATCCTCAGCGCTGCCTCCTGGGGCCCTGCAGTGCGTCCTTGGCGCGTGGCTGTGCTCCAAAGAGGGCAGGAAACTGTGAGTTACTCTGGAAATGGAAAATAATCTGGAAGGTTATCTATGGCTTTTCATTTGTTAGTTTAATTGCCTTTTCCCCTGTAAAGGGAGTTGGAGTGATGAGAGGATCGCTGCTGGCAACTCTCCTTTTGGAGCCTGGAAAGCAGGCTGGGGAGGGAGAAGAGAAGGGAGCAATATTTCGGGGTCATCTGGCTGCTTTGTGTGCCTGCTGGGCTATGTGACCAGCCTGAACTTTCCTATAACTCCATGGAAATGAAATTCTCCATTTCTTTGAGGTGAGACGCAGAGAGCCGCAGGGCAGTCTGTGAGTGCTGTCCTTGCAGCTGGTCGAGCTGCATCTCCTCCTCATCTCTGCACAGGACCACAGCCACGTTTTTAGAGAAAAAACAAAGCTGTAAATCCAGGAGTTTGGTGGATTTACACCAAAATCTCAGGTTTCTCTGACAAAACAGCGAGTGCTCTTGATGGATGTCCCTGCCATGGCTGCCTCTCCCTAATGCTGTCCAGACATGCTGTCAGTGTGCTCACTCAGTTATCTCCTTCCTCTCTTCACTTTGCACACACGGTCACTTCAAACAACATAGGACACCAGGTCACAGGATGGATGCACCACCCACACAGAGAAGTAATCCATTTTAGTGGAGTTATTAAGGCAAAATGTTTGGAGTAGGCAGTAGAAGAAGTGGTCTTTCGCCCATCAGAGCTCTGCTGCCTAATAAGGCCTTTTAAATCATACAGCTATTTCCAGAAAGCAGCAGAAGTAGTCTAAGGAGGAGCAGAAATAACATCCTCTTAAAAGTTTTTATAGGGACTGATTCCCACATTCCCCATGTCAGCCCATGGCAAGCAGATAGTTGAAGTATTTCTGAGTATTTCCAAGGCTGAAGCAGGTACCTGCATCTCCAGATTCGCAGCATTCCTCCTGCATCCCATGTCATGATAAACAGAAACTCTTTTCTATCTTGAAGAATGGTCTGCATGTAATAACAGGGCAATATTCATGAGTTACATCGTGCTCATCATCTCACCTGCTGTGGGAGATGGAGATGCTGAAGTTCCTGGCAGGTGCATGCTGCAGTTGTGTTGTCTGATAGCCCTCAGGGCTGGCATGTACCAGCTGTGCTGAGTGCTCCCCAGAGTCCTGCTACTAAGGAAGAAGGGAGGTTCAGGTTGAATATTAGAATTTCTTCTCAAAAAGTGGTGGGCACTGGGACAGGCTGCCCAGGAGTTGTGGAAACACCATCCGTGGAGGTATTTAAGAAAAGGTGGTGCTTAGGGACATGGTTTAGTGGGCAGTATTGGTGGGAGGTGGACAGTTGGATGGGCAGCATCTGCAGCATGAGCTTTGCTCATGACAGCTGGAAAGCAAGCACCAGATTTTTATATTAAAAGTCAAAGCTTTGGGGGGAGTTCAGCCTGGAAAGGTGTTGAAGTCCAGTCATCCAGGCTGATCCGGGCCAGCCTGGATCCAAAAGTTGCCAGACCCATCCTGCGCTGGGAGGTGGGCATCTGAGTGCTTTCCCAGCCTCTCCTCTGAAGGGCTGAACATTTTGGCAGGCTCATTGCACAACTAAAGATGAGTGTGGAAGTACAAGATCTGACTTATGTGTAAGAGCCTTTCCTCTCTCCTCTAATCTAGATGCTGCTGCTAATTTTTCTTCACTCCCTTGGGAAAAAACTGCCACGGATTCACTCTTGTCTGCTTTCATGTAGTTACTCTTCACTTGTGTGTCTGAGGTTGATCATAATGATTACAGCAATAGCAGGTGCTGCACGTGTTTCCCTCAGAAACCTTAATCTTTATGGCTGACTTTAATAGCTAGCCTTGTTCTCCTCCCCCCTGAATAGCTACCATTAGTGCTGCTTGGGAGAAATACTATGCATTAAGGACAGTCCTTCTTCTAGGCTGTGTGCGTGCACACAGTCATCCATTGCACATCCATCTGGCCAGCTTTCATGGTTTGCAGCAATTGTGTTGTTTTTGTTTGTTTGTTTGTCCTTTTAGGTTTTAATTTATGACTTTTCAGTTGGTGCCCCGTGGTCTGTGCTTTGCTCATCAATGGGGCTCTGGGGAGGTACGTGACATGCCTGCAGTCTTATCATTGCCCATGATTATTGACATTGCAACACTGCTTTGCTGGCATCAGGGCAGGATGTGGTTAGCCATTAATTCCTCTGCAGCTCTAGAATGGGACACTGGGGACCCAGCCCAGGTGCCCCTGTCACTTCCTGCCTTGGTCAACTCCATAAGAGGTGGCTGCTCGGATTCTGGTCTTGCTCTTAGATGCAGTTTGCAAAGCATTTGAGTGGGTTTCAAAGCTTGAAGGCCACAAAGGTGGAGCTGGGATGGAGTGAGGCTCCTACTGCAGTTTTGGGCACATCACCAGCCCGCCAGGGCTTGAGCCTCCCTCACTCGAATCACTACCCAAGTATGTGACCTTGGGGACATTTCCCCATCATGAGCAGCCCCTGGTATGCTGGCATGCCCCAGGTTTGCTGGCGTGGTCTTGCAGCTTCCTGTAATTTGCAGGGGGAAAGTGGAGCAGAGCATCCCAGAGCCTCTGTTTTGTTCCTAATGGAAGGTTGCTTGCATGGGGCAGGCAGGATGTTGCTTGTGGCTTTCCATAAGTGTGCCTTCTCTAAGAGCCTAGTGCTGGCACAGAACTGGTTTGGGGTTCCAGGGTACTTGTGAGGTGCTGAGTCTGTGGCTTTGGTCTCAAGTGATGTTTTGCTTCTTGAATGCCACAAGTGCCAAATGATTGAGTCTTCCCAGTTATGGCTTTTCAAGCTCCTTTGCATGCAAAAAGTTCTGGCAACGTGACTGTAACTTGTACAGAAGCTGAGTGCTGGTTCTGTTTTTCACATAGCAAAAGCTACCTGCTATGGGAGCATGACAGAGCTGGGCTGCGTCTGGGGTTTTTCCTGGAGCAGTGTGTGGGTCCTTTGTGTAATGCACTGCTTGCAGCTTTGGTACCCAGGGGACACTGCGGCTGCAGAATGACGAAGGAAGGACAGGATGGAAGCTGCCTTTGGGCTGCCATCGGCAGTGACACAGCCAATGCTCTGGTAGGACCTGTTTGTCCCTCCTTGAGCTCCTGTGACCTCTGCCAGCAACTCATGGAGTCACAGAGCTAGGGCAGGGCTTTGCTTCATGCTCTGTGGCAGTGGGAGTGTTACCACAGTCTGTTGCAGTGCCTTTTCCTTCTATTTGTCCTTCTCCAGTGCTGCTCACTTCTACCTTTGTGTAAGTTGCCTTTGCTCAAAGAGCTGCCCTATTCCTCCGGTTGGCCCAGGCCAGACATCTTGTTCAGGGCCCTGGCTGATGTTGTCCTGCCTACGTGGGACCTGCTGACAAGACAACTGCAGTTAGCACTGAACCATGTCCACCACAGTGACTCTATCACTTGGCCTGTGATAGACGTGGCAAGGAAGGCCCAGAAGAGCTGCGCCATTCCTGCAATACTGCATGAAGAGTTGATGATGCTCCTCAAAAAGAAGGACCCAAGGCAGGAGAAAGCTCTCAGTGGCCTGAAGGGGAGCCCGGACCAAATCCTTCCTCGCCCTTTGGGGTTGGTCTGCAGGATGGGCACCATCACAAGGCTTTGGTCCTCTGTAGACCTTCTCCTGCCACTGTGCTTTCCCTGGTGTTGGTCCTTTCTGCACCTTTGTAACAGGAGGCTTCAGTTCTTCAGGAGGGTTTTAGCAAGTGGTGGCGGTGCTCAAGCAGGCATTTCTGTTCCAGCAGCTTGCAGCTGATTTGTACATGGGCAAGGACAGTCTCCTCCCTTCAGTGTTCAGGAGCTGGGCTGGTACCTCTGGCAGGGAGGAACCTGGGAAGTGTTACATAGCTCCTGGATGTGTCACCGCAGCAGCTGATCACGGTTGGTGAGTCACTGCCAGCACTCAGACATGCGGGATGGCAGCACGTGGCTGCTCCTGTCGCCACTTGCTGTTTACTTGTGTGGTTGTTTTTTTTTCCCTTCTTCTTCTCCTGCTGCTTGAATAGTTTCCCGTGGTGTGGGATCACACGTGTGGGTTGCTTCCTACGTGCCTGCCTTTCTCAGCACCGCACGTTTCCTTCCATCTCAGTTTCCTGGGGCTGGGCTTTGTCTCCAGCCATGGTCACCCCAGAACCACCTGATCCCAGCAGGGTGTACTGCCCCTGCACAGCACCTGGGTCTCTGAAACATCCTCGCTGAGCTTCCAGTCCCCTGGAATCTCCCAGCAGTGTTGCAGGATGGCAGCATTTCTGGCATTTCCTTGTTTTCTCCCTTTCTCCTGGCCAGTCCCAGTTCCCTGTTCACCCCAGGGTGCTGAGGATATCCCTGCCTGTCTGCAGACCCTTTCTGGGGGGTTGCTTTGAGGCACAGCCTCTCACCAGGATCATCCCACCATCCATGTATCCTGTGATGCTCAGCAGGTAAAACTACCAACCAGGCGAAACCCTGTCAGTCTTGTGGCAGGAGCTGGGCACGGGGCCGCTGTTGGGGTTAACAAGGAAAGAGAAGCCCAGGAGGATTTCATCTATGTTTATCAAGCACAGCAGCCCTAATTACAGGTTGAAAACTACTTGTGCATGTTTGAATTTGGATCCAGAGGCATCCTGTGGTGCAAACACAGATTTCAAAGCCTGGCTGCGCACTTGCCCTGGCACAACTTGCTAGCAGGGCTTCTCCTTACTGCTGGTGTTTCAGCTCTCCAGTCAGTAAAGCAAATAGAAAACCTGACCAGCAAATAGAAAACCTGACCCCCAAACAGAAGTTCTGCTAGTAAGCACACTTGCTGCTGCGTTTGAAGGTGATGTTTTCTGTGCTCTGTTTAGCACTGCCTATGTGGGGTCCAGATCTTGATGGCACAAGATAGTGTGCCCTCAGATGCTCTCTGCTGGATCCTCTCCTGGCCCTTCCCTTCTCACCACTGTGAGGAGCTATGGCTGTCCCCAAGAACCTGGTAGAACAGGGGCAGTGCTTGTGAAATCTGCCCATTCCATCTGCTGCTTAGATGTGTTCAGCTCACATCACAAAATACCTTGATTAGCAGGAGGACCAATTGCTTTCTCTTTTAATTAAGGTAATCCAATTGGACAAGAGGGAATGGCCTTTAGTTGTGCCAGGGGAGGTTCAGCTTGGATATTAGAAAAAATATCCAAAAAAGAGGTGGTGCAGTGGCACAGGCTGCCCAGGGAGGTAGCTGAGTCACCATCCCTGGAGGTGTTTGGGAGCTGTGGAGATGTGGCACTGAGGGATGTGGTCAGTGGTCATGGTGGGGGTGGGCTGGGTGTTGGACTCGGTGATCTTGGAGGTCTTTTCCAACCTTAATGATTCTCTGATAATCTGAAGTTGGCTTCAGTGCCCAAGCTTTAAAAGTACCTTCAATCCATGTGAGGGTGAAGCTTTGTTCAAATCTAGACTGAACGTTTTCTGGGCTTGGTTTTTTCCAACTTAGACTGAGATGCAGCAAAAAATAAAGCTGTAAGATCTGGGAGTGTTAATTTATTTATTTTTTTTCATGTCAGCATTTGAAATTCCAACTCCCAGTTAGGAAATTTGTTGAAGAAATTGTATGAATCATCCATACCATCAATTTAGGACCAAGCACATGGGAAGGGAGCAGAAAATTAGTCACTTTGTTAATCTGCTTCCAATAAAAGTTATTTAGAAATCCATAGAGGGGGTGGGGGTAGAGATAAATAAAAATGAGAGCGGCTTTTGGGAGTGCTGTAATGCATCCCTGTGCTGGCACCACAGCCGCCCGCTCTCTTCTCCGCACTGTTTTGGGGCACTTCCCCACTCTTTGGTTTGTGGTCAAAGGGACTATCAGAAAAGCTGTTGCTCACCTTCAAATTTAGAGGGTGGGAAGCTGCTGGGCCGTGGAAGCTTTTATAGCAGCCAGAATAATGCTGCCATGGAAGAGCGGATAATGTCGGGCGAGTCCTACCTCTATGAAAACAAACCCTTCTGCCTCTGGGTTCTTTCCAAGTCTGGAGACAGCATTCAGGAGGGGCAGAGGTCGAGGGGCTGGTCCAGGCTGCAGGACGTTGGGAAGCTCATTAACAGGGCTTGGAGAAGCAGGGAAGGATGCAGAGCTAACAAAGGGTGAGTGTGGTCAAGGGAGAGCTGAGGAATTGCTGTCCTGGATCCAAGGACGAGCTTTGCATTCTTCCTAGCTATAACCTGCTCTCTGAATTATCACTGTGGGAAATCCAAAGGGTCGCTTTCCCACCACCTCGGTCAGGTTGAAGCCGAAACTCCTCCACAAGAGTCAGAAGGCCGCGTCACGCCGCTCCCTGCTTTTCGGTGCTGTGGGCCAAATGCTGGTAAATGATTGCTGGAGGCACTCGGCCGAGGCGGGGCCAGAGCTCGGTTTACACCCAAACAGGTGCCTCTACCCTCACAGCACCCCCGGGTGTCCCGCAACTGGACCCAGCACCATTCATCACCCCTCGCCTCACCAACTGCTGGTATTTTGGGTGAGGAAAGGTGAGTCCGCTTCCTTTCACATGATACAATCCTCAGCTGGCTGGTTTCGCTTATTTATTTTCAAACTAGCCACTCCTGGCCTGTGCTGGGGCTCTGCCGTGGGATGAACCTTGCTAGGGAGTTACCTGGCTCCATGACCAGTTCAGCTCTCGTGGTTAGCGCTTGGCTTTCCAGGACGTACCACCACCCCACACTGGTGTTGGTGTGCTGTTCCCCAGCACAGTGGTGACCTTGCGGTGGGTTTTAGGGTGGTGCCCAAGCTCAGCAGCGTGGCCGAACTTTGTTCCGTGGCGGGGGTGGGTGCTGGATTAGCTGGCTGCTCGCAGCCAGTCCAGAGCATGCAGCAGGACAAAACCCTGCCTGAAACCAGGCTGGGCTCCACCTGGCAAACACGGTGCTCTGCAGATCCACTGCGTGCAGGACCCAAGGTCCTTTGTCACTGCCGGTTTCACCGTTGGCACCGCCAAGTCAAACATAGGTGAGCTCAGCAGGGAAGTGTCCATGCCCAGGCGACTGCTCTGCTCCCATGGCCATTCTGTGGCTACTGGCAATGCAAACGGGGCCAGCTTGTTTTGCAGCAAGTCCCAGTACACCGTGAGTAAAATCTGAAAATTAGGGTTTGATTACTCTGCTGTGGTTGGTGGAGAGGTTTGTGTTGGATCAGCTAAGTGCTCCCTGGGGCATGGATTTGGCTTTTGGGCTTGTTCTTCAATAAGTTGTTGTGTTCTGGCACCATCAGATCCGTCACTGAGAACAGCATTGTGAAACCATCTTTCTCCAGGCTTCTCCTGGCCTTGTTGTGTTACAGCTACAATTTCTTGTTGGTGAAGGTGGGAGCCTTTCAGCTCTTGCTTAGATTTCTCCAGTATCCAAAACAAAAAAAACAAACCCAAAACCTGTTTTAACCCTGGGAACGGAAGGAGAGGGACTGATGAGCTGGGTTAGGTTTGGAAAGTAGCTTGGGACCTTTTGGACAGAGCACGTGGAAATTACACGTACACCTTCCTCTGCCTGATGTCCTCAGGCTTGGTGCTTCAAGGATTTACAAAAAACACCATAGGGGGGAAAAGGTCATTTCAAGAGTGTTTAAAACGAGGGTAAACTTTGAGTTCTTTGAGTTTCTTTGTGTGGATTCTATTTAGTCATTGAATCGTTGAAGTTGGCAAAGACCTCTAAGGTCGTCTAGGCCACCCTGTAATCCATAACTACCACGTCCGACAAGTCATCTCTTAGGAGCTGCAGTTCTGCAGCTGCTGGAAAATGCAGGAGCTGCCTGTGCCCATGATAACAGGTGTCAGCACCAGGTGGGTGCTGTGTCAAAAGAGGTGGCCAAGCTACCTCCCCATTTAGCAATGCTAAACGCAGTCTAGCTGCTCTTAGTTTGTGATTGTCAGTGTAATGACATCCTAATGGCATTACTGAAGGCTCATTTTCAGTAAAATAGCATTTCTCATGTGCTTCCTCATCCCAACCTGGCTCTGCAAAGAGTTTTGCATACCAGGAGGCATTTTTTTTCTCATTTCTTAATCCCCCTCAGATAACTGGAGATGGAGTTAGATTACAATGCGCTCTGTCTGCACCTTCTCTCAACTTCCCTTTGTGCCGCTGGAGAGCGTGAGTGGGAGGGCGGTGGGAGGTTCCTCTGTCTTTTAGATATTGTTTGGAAACTCCCGAGTGCCACATTGCCAAATTGTTGGAGAAATGGCAGTGGGAGTCCAACAAATTCATTAGAAGGCTGTGCTAGGCACAGGGGCAAACCCCACTGTTTTTCACCCAGGGAAGACTCAATCCTACGGCCCAGACCTAAGCTGTGTGTGGGGATTTGGGTAAGGTAGGTTGGTGGGTTGTTTTGCTTTTGGCAGGTAAACATCGGTATTGTTAACAATAACAAAATCCCACGTGTACAGGAGCCTGAGCCCTTGTATCTTCTCTCCTGCAGGGACCCTGTCCTGCAATGCCCCAGGGTGCCTGAAGCCCGGCAGCCTCGGGGATGGAGCTGAAGGTCTGGGTAGATGGGATCCAGAGGGTCGTCTGCGGCGTCTCGGAGCAAACCACCTGCCAGGAGGTGGTCATCGCCCTGGCGCGGGCCATAGGTGAGCAGCAGGCTAATCCAGAGACAGCTCAGCTTCCAGGATCACGTCAGACTCCTTGAGCTCTGTTTGTCACTGCCATGGATTTATGTCTCCCCCGGCCGCATCAGAGGCTTGCCAGGGAGATAGCATAGCCAAAATAAATAGCTTTACTTTGGATAGATGCAGGCGGTGTGGCCAGGGTGTCTGGATGCTGGTGCTTGCCGCACTCTCACTGTGGTCAATCCTGCCTTCTAGTGGCTCAATTTCAAAGTGCTCCGATACTGTTAGCTTGCAGGCTTTGAGTGGAGATGCCCTCCTTCTGATTTAACCCTACAAATCAAAGCCCTTCCTCTTGTCCACCTTCATAAAAAAAACAAAAAACAAACAAAAAAAAACCAAACAGCATAGTGCTTTTTCTTCCACCTCCATTCTTGAGGGCATGTTTTCTTCCAGCAGCAACAAAGCAAGACTGGTTGATATCCTCAGCTGTTTCCTGTGCAGAAGTGCCACTGTGGAGGCTGAGCTTTGCAAACAGATGCGCATCCTCTGGAGGGGGGCAGTGCAGGGCTCCGCGTTACTGGAGGGATGTTGTGTTGTCCCCTCTGCCAAGAGCTGATCTTGCTTTTGGGTGTCACTGGGGGCATACGGTCCTCATCGTTCCATGTGGAAACACAATGAGATTGCAGGCAAGGTTTCTACCAACTTCCACCTCCTGCAGGATGCTCTCCTACCTGCAACTAGGAGGGCAGATGATCCTTGATGGGTAGACCAAACCTTTCAGTAAGGAACACTGACCCTTTTCAAGGTTTGGAAGGGGAAAGGGAGGAAAGTGAGAGTGTTTCAGGGTGCGCCTCACTTCCCTGACCCTGTAGAATCATAGAATAGCTTGGGTTGGAAGGGACCTCAAGGGTCATCAAGTTCCAAATCCCTCTGTAACAGGCAGGGCTGCCATTCATTAAAATTGGAATCATTAAGATTGGAAAAGACCACTAAGGTCATGTAGTCCCTCTGCCCCCCAGTATTTTTCCTCAGTTTGGTGTCCAGCCTTTGCAAGTGGAGACATTTCTGTGTGCTTCCTGGGAAAAGAAGTTCCTGGTGACAGGGCCCAGCCCTGGGGCAATGGGGATGTCTCCCTGGGCTGTGGCTTTCCCCGAATGATGTGCTTGTGTTCCACCTGCAGGTCAGACAGGCCGCTATGTCTTGGTGCAGAAGCTCCGGGAAAAGGAGAGGCAGCTCCTCCCGCTCGAGTGCCCTTTGGAGTCTCTGGCCAAGTGTGGGCAGTATGCCAATGATGTGCAGTTCATCCTGAGGCGGACGGGCCCCAGCGTGGCCGAGAGACCATCCTCAGAGGGTGCTCCCCAGGCTCCTGAGAGGACGTTCATCCGGGCCAGTCTGCCCATCAAACCCCGGGCCCTGAGCACGGACGTACCTCGGCCCCGGGAGCCGAGGAAATCAATGACCTTCAGCTTGGGCCCCATGGGCTCTGTTGACCCGTATGCAAAGAGCCGCTGGAGGCAGCATGCCTGGGAGGGGATGGACTTGAAGGACGGTGGGGCCAGCCACCCCTCCAAGGAGGAGCTGTTTAAGACAGTGCTGCGTCAACAGGAGCAACTGCACTCCTTGGAGGCCCATGGGGATACACTGGAGACAGATCTGCGGCTCTGGGAGCATGGCCGGGCCTCCAGCCAGGAGGATGAGATCCTCTACTTAGAGCACCTGGTGCGGAGGAATGATACGGAGTTGGGCGAGGAGGAGTTTTGGCAGAGCGAGCTGCGGCTGGAGAAGGAGTGTGAGCGGGAGAGGCAGGAGCGGGTGAGGAGCCTGCGGGCCAGCCTGGAGGAGTACACGCAGAGGATCTATGAGCTGAGCGCCCGCACTGAGGCCCTGCAGAAAGAGATCCAGTGGGAGATGGCCGAGAGGGCCAAGAGGGGCAAGGACATCCCTGTGCCGAGCCCCACGGACTTGGAAGACATGGCTGCCAAAATGAAAAGGGATCTGGAGGCCAAGGTCAAGCAGGGCACACAGCTGGAGAGCAACCTGGCCAGCGTAGAGAAGGCCCTGGAAGAAGCTGAAAGGAGCCTGCAGGTAGGTACAGTTGGGATATCCTGCTCTATGGGGTGACGCACCTCCAGAGAGAGGTGGAGGGGGTGTATAGCTAGGAGAAAACAGGCATGAGTCCGTCATCCAGCTCTGCATCCATCTTGGTACTTGCTTAATGGCATCAAGACCCAAAAGGGAACTGGCAGGAGAGCTGCATCCTGCCTGACCAGCATGGGGTTAGCTCTGCAACAGTGACCAGTGTACCCTAGACTGCTCCCAAGGTGCTTGTACCCATCCGCTTACTGTGCAAGCTTTGGGTTGCTCTGTGGCTCCTGTTGTCTTGCAATAAGGAGCACAGTACTGTGTATGACATAGGGCTAAGAGGAAACAGTCCTCGAGCAGTAGTATGAGATTGGTGTGGTCAGGCAAACGGCAGAGGTTGGTGGTTGGTCTCCTCACCAGTGGTGGTGTCTCTATGTCTGTGCCTGGAAAAAAGGAGCAGGATGTTGAGGCATGAGGGTTTTGGTGATGCTCTGGGCTGAGCCCCCAGATTGGAGTGGCAGTGGCAGCAGTGTTGGGCTGAGATCTGTGTCTCACCCATCTTCAGCCCCACTGGGGTTCAGGTGCTCTCTTCCCGTCCCTTTCAGCAGAGCTGAAAAAAAAAAAAAAAAAAAGCTTCTCCTGCAGTGTTTCCTCAGTGCCACGATGTTTCACATGACTCATTTTGGGATTGCTGGTGCCTGCCATCTCCTGCCACCACTGTGTCACTGCTCACACCCTCTTGCAGAGATGTGGGCCTGTCTTCAAAATGCTTACCTTGTCCTTGTTGCCCAAGCATCCCCATGGAGGGTGCAGCCGAGGGGTGCATCCTCAATATGTAGAATGATAGAATCACAGAATCATTTGAGCTGGAGGGGAGATCATCTAGTGCAACTTGCCTGCAGTGAACAGGGACACCTACACTTGGCACAGATCAGGTGCTCAGAGCCCCATCCGGCCTGAACTTGAATATCTCCAGGGATGGAGTATCCACCACCTACATCTCTGTGCAGTCTGTGCTAGTGCATTAATGTAAAGAAATGATTCCTTATATCCAACCTAAGTGTTTGTTCTGTTGCAAGAGATCTTTATAAAGAGTCTATCTCATGCCATGGCAGGCTACAGAGTTTTTTGGGGGGGGAGCTGTTTGCAGCAGGTTGTTCAGCAGTGTGTGGCTGTTGTTGGCCTGGCTGGCTAAAGTCCCCGTGGGCAGTAGCATGGCCTCTGATGGCCTTATCCATATGGGATTCCCCATGTCATTCTCAGAACTGGGGAGTGAGACTGAGGCCTCAGGAAGAGGAGCAGAGCAGCATGGGGAGAGCGTGGCTTACCCTGTCCCTGCTGTGTTTTGCAGGCCCAGAACCAAGAACTGGAGGAGTTAAATAAGGAGCTGAGGCAGTGTAATTTGCAGCAGTTTATTCAGCAGACGGGAGCCACGGTGGCCGTCGGGCAGGCCAGGTCTGAGGAAGATGCCCAGCCGGAGCTGAGCCCACGCGAGCTGCCAGCCTGCCGGCGAAATGGAGGTCAGCACGCTGCCTCAGCCGCGGCCTGCCCTGTGCCCCCAAACCACTCCTTGTTGGCCTGGCTCCTTCCTCCTCCCTGTCGGGGCCGCTTGCAGTGGGATTTGTGGCTGTGTGTGGTATAGGCCTTGGGACTTTGTGGCCCTTCCTCTGTAGGCCGGAACAGGAATGAGTGTATAGGGATGGGGAAGAGACCTCTGTGTGTGAGCAGGAGAAAAGGGGATCCAGCCTATTCTCCCAGGGAAGGTCTGCACCCAGAGAGGATGCAGTCCTGGGCACTCTGGCACGGCATCCTGCCTGAGCCGGGTGTTTTTTCCTATCCCCATAGGGTTTCCTCCCACCGGTGCCGATTCGCCACCCTGTGCCAGCACCAAGCAGCTCCTCGGCCATCCCCGGACCCTGCCGGAGCCCCTGGTGCCCAGCTTGAACCCGGAGGGTGCGTATGTCTCAGCAGGCCCTCATGCACCAGGGAGGCCTGTGGGGAAGGGGAGAGAGTTTTGCTGCGTGAAACGGGGCTGCGGAGAGTGAGTGAGCGAGCGTGTGCTGGAAGTGGGAGGCCAGAGCTATTTATAGATGCCATTAGGAGAGCAGTGCTCATACCCTGCCATCCCCCGTGGCCTCCACTCTGCTGTGAGGGAGCGCTGGAGGGAGTGAGGCCATTGGTGTGGCATCCAAAGCAGTCTCCAGTGTTGTTTGGGGCCATCTGCAGCCCTCCGGCCTGTTTTCCTTTCAGCTGCTTTTAAGGCCACTCGCTGCCTCTGTCCGTCCCCGTCTACCGGATCCTGTGACCATGATGTGTGTGTGTCTGTCTGCACCACCCGAGTGCAGGGCTGGGTTTCATGCTGCAGATGCATGGTGCTTGCCTACGTCACATCTTCTGTGCTGTTTTTCTCTGAATGCTCAGCCGCTGCGTTGGGGTCACTTAGTTTATTTTTGTCTGTCTTGCAGTCATATCAACCAGGCAGAGCATCTGGAGGTAGAAGGGCCCAGCCAGTGGACGATTGGTTGCCTTGCAAGTATAGCTGTATAAATAAAACCATGTTCCCTATATATATTACGTTTTTTACTGCTTTATATCACGAATGGACGTGGATGGCCAGACAGAGTATTTTTACAGACTGTAAGATAAAACAATGGCCGACCAAACAAAACGACCCAACTACTCCTATGCGGATGAAATGAACTCTTTCTATTTTTTTAAAGTGCTTTCTATATTTAACACAAAATGGCAGCACCCATGTGCCATGTGGACTTCTGAGAAGACCTGCTATGTGTTCCGAGAGGTCCTTGCTCCCTTGGATAGCAGAACAAAGCCGTGTTGGGATGGCTGGTGACATCTCCTACTTTGGGCTGCTCACAAGGCTCACTCAGGTGAAGCAGGCTTCACAGGAAAACAGCAGGTTTTACAGCACCATGCTGTGAAGAGGAGCTTGCGCTGGCAAGTGGGATATGATGTCCTGTGCTAGCAGTGAGGGGAAGACTCGCTCATCTTGCTCACCCACATCTGATGCTCTCAAGCCACGCTGGCAGCCAGCAAGTGCACCCCTGAATGACTGAGTGCCAGTGACCGCCAGCACCCTGCCATCCTCTTGCACAAGTGCAGTGTGGATCTTCCAGTCGGCAGTCCTGCCCTCCTTGGGTTTGGCCCCGGCCAGCTGCTCCTGATGGACTCTCCCAAAACCCCGCAGCCCTGTGTCAAGGCAGCACAGGGATGCCCCAGGTACAGCTGTCTTGCCCATGTGTCCATCCTTGCCATACCTACAAGGGCAGTGTGGCTGCTCTGGAGTGGCTGTCTCAGGAGCATAGAGATGCGCCAGGACTTTCAGATGAGTTGGTGGGTTTTAAAAACAGCCATGAGGCACACAGGCAGCTTTTTAATGCAACTTTCTGGCCCCCTTTTTTATTGTAAGACCTGCAGTAGAAACCCTGTTCCCATGGTGCTGAGAGGGAGTGAGAAACAAGCAGTTGTTCCCTAGGGGTACCAACCTGGAAGGGACAACCAGACTTTGAGGAAGCACAGCTGGAGACTGTTTTTTCTGAAGCCCACTTGGTTTTTTAACTTGTTTTTAAATCAGCAATGTGCCAGCAGGATGAGCCCTTCCCTGAGTGCCTGTGGCTGGAGCATGCAGGGCAGAAACACTTTTGGTGACATTTCACTGAATGTTCTGTTTTATTTGTCTGTTCTTTGGGTTTTGGTTGTGTGTTTGTTGGTTTTTGTTTTTTGTTTTTTTTTTACTTGATGGCCAGTAGTTCCTCTGTTTCTGTTCATCTGTCTCCACAGGTCATGTTGTATTTTAATTGTGGCTGGGGAGGGGACAGTTTGTCCAGGAGGTCCCAGAGCCCTGGCCTCTTTGTTTTCTACGTCTGCTCTGCTGTATGCAAAAAATGTGACTTGGATGCTGTGTTCTCTGTAAAACACACTTTCCATGTATGAATGTATCCTGCATACTACGGCATTGTCTGGTTTCAATTTTAAATAAATCTTTTGGAAAGGATTTTTGTGAAGTGAGCGTGTGCATGCTGCTGTCTCGGGGCTGTCCCTGCTCCAGGTATGTGCTGAGCTCCCTGGGCACGGCAAGTGCTTCATGTGTCCTGTGAAGGCCTCTTTGCTTTGTGCAATGTCTCACAGGGATTTAAAGCTGTGTTTCATAACCAAATGCTTCTTATGCACATACTGCTCTTTTTCTTTTTTTTTTTTTTTTTTTCCTTTTCTTTCTCCCCCTTCTATTGCAAAGTGCTATACAAACAGTGGATGAAGCTCATCTCCACTGAGAAGGCAGCCGTCTCTGGGATGAAACATGGCAGCTTTTTAATAATGCACAGCAGCAGCACAGAGCATTTTAGGACAGGAAGAGAAGGAGATGGCACTTGGCTGCAGATATGAGCAGGTAAGGGGGAAACCTCTGGTTCATTTCTCAGCCTCCCCATCCGTTTCAGCATCATACCTGGCAGGGAATAAGCAGTAATGTCGGCTCTCTCCCCACCAGCATCTCCCTGAGGAAAGCCAGGAGCTGAGCAAAGACTGCTGCTCTCTGACCCTTTGGATGTGCTCGCTCACAGGCCATTTTGGAGGTGCACTGCCTGTTTTGGAGGTGTCCAGTATGTCCGTGCCACCACATTGGGTGTGAGATGGCAGTCGCTGGTGTCCTATGGGATTTTCCCCTTCCCATGGCGAGGGGCAATTGTGGGCAAATGAAATATTAACGTTGGAGAGAAAGCTGTCAAGGGCAATGCAGCAAGTGCCAGCTGCTGTCCAGCAGTTTGGTTGAGTGATATTTAAGGATTAGAGTTTGCTTCATTCGGAGACCGCTAGGAGCCAAGTGAGTCTCTGGTTACTACCGAAGGACAGCAGGGAGATGTGATTTTAGACTTGTCTCTTTGGAACCACGATTTTCTTCTCTCTCTCTCTCTCTCTCTTTTTTTTTTTTTTTTTTACCCATGAATCACTGGAGTTGGAAATGTGTGTTGGGGAAAAAATGTATTTAACAATACGTTTGCTTCGTGCAACTGCATGAAGAAGTTTGTTCCCTGTGGTGTGAGCACTGATTGCTTGCTTCTTGAACTTTTTGCTCTCGTTTTCTGGACTCTTGCTTTTAAAATGAGACTCCAAGAAGAGAATCAGGGTGTGTTGGAGGTTGTAAAGAACACTGCAGTACCACCTGGGGTAAAACTTGAAACCCTCAGTTCAGGAAAACTGCTTGCCTTTGGCATAGCCAAGGGCGATTGTTCTCCCCACTGGGCAGCCAATGCTTGGGTAGTTGGCCTCAAGTTCTCCCTGAAATATCCCCGAGATTTTGAGATATGAGCTGAAGCCCTCAATGTACCCTGAAACACTGATATCTGTGACTTTAACAAGTGGTGTCTTTCATTTTTGGGCCCCGTTTGTGGTTTGGCTTTGTGCAAAATAAAAAGGTTCAGCGCTGAGGGCACTTCCCACAGCAAAGCAGGGAAAGAAAAAAAGCCACAGAACAATAATTCAATGGCAGTGGAATCTCTCATTTTCATTCTGCGCTACCACTTAGCTGTGTTCGGGTTGGTGGTCTGTTACATTTCTAGAGATGACTTTTTTGTGGTTTTGGGTATCCCTGGGGAGGGCGCTGTGCCTGTGTGCTAACACCTGCGTGCTAATACCCGTGTGCTAACCCCTGTGTTTCAGCCACCACTGCGCACACGTTTCTGCGGCCCTCAGCAATGTGCCGTGTTGCAGATTTCTTCCTGTTTTTCCCACAACCCATCAGCCAGCAGCTGCGGGGCAGCGGGGTTTCTCAAGGTAACAAATGACTGATGGATGAGTTCCGCCTTGGACCCCCCACCTCCTGTCCCTGCTGTTTGGCTCAGCAGCGTGACCCAAATTCATCCTGGCACGAGGGGCCTCACGCGGCAGGGATGTGGTGATGTGCCGTGGCACCTTCTTGGTCCCTGGTCTGGCTGTGGCTTGTCCCACCCTGATGCCACTGGCCTCCACTTAAGGCCACACGTGTTATTTAACCGATGCCCGCTGCAGCGCTCTGCCTCTCCGCTTTTATCTGCTCTAAAGGCTGTGTCAATAATACATTTCTGCCATTGAATATTTTATTGATGATTTGACTTTTCGCTGCTTGCAATTCCCATTTCAAGGCTGCATGATTGTTCCTAATTAAAATTTTATGCCCTGGGAGAAGCCTTCTTGCTACAGTGGAGATGATGCTGTCCTTTTCTAGGCCACTACAGAGCGGTAGGAAGGAATTACTCATTGTCGTGAGATTAAAACAAAGCAAATAAATTATTTTTCCTTAAAAAAACAATCTGAAAGCCCAGTGTACGGCGCCTACTGGAGAGGGAAGATGTGGCCAGTGGGCAAGGCAGCGCTCCAGCACACAGCAGGGCTGGAGGATGCTGCGCTGGGGCCAGCGGGGAGCCATGTCCCCACAGCCCTGGGGCACCGTTCATGGCAGGATGGTGGGAAGGGCTCCTTCCTTCCCCAGGTGGGATGATGCCAGCTCCTTGGCACCCAAAAATTGTGAGGCAGAGAGCATTTGTTTAGTGCGCAGTGCCAGCATCCTCTCTGTTGTGTTTGCTGAGAGCTGTGAGGTACCTGCAGGCTCTGTCAGCACAAGGCGCTGTGCGGGAGAGGAATTCAGCCACGGGCTGAATGCCAGTTGTGTCCTTGTGCTCCCTGCCTCTGCTGAAGCTGCTCAGCTGGAGTGCTGGGCGCCGTGTGTCTGGCAAACCCTGATTATTTTTTCTATTGCATGATGAAAGTCACTCCCATCCACCTCACAGTGTCTGCTCGCAACACCAGCCATCCTCCTCCTGGGCAGGGTTTGGGGTAGTAATGCTGCACCACACTGGGATGGTTTCTCAGGTACAGGGTTTGAATTCAAGGTGCCCAGGGGCATCCTTGAGGGTCCTCTCTGACTCAGGACACCTTGTGATTCTCAAGGGAATTGAACCACCCCTACTAGCAATTGGGTGTCTGTATGTGTGCCCCAGGGTTTGTTTTGCAATTCATCTAGAATACTAGAAGCGTTTGTGTTTCCTCCCAGCCCCTGGATTTGACAGGCAGCTTTCAAACGCATGCTTCAGCACCAGTTACGTAGGGAAAGGTGTGAATGACTGGAGGAGAAAACACAGGTTAGTTTTGCTCTGAGTGATGTACAGATGCTCTGTTTACTGCACCTGGGTGCAGAGCTCCTACAACACCAGTCTCCAGGAGCCAGAGAAGAATGCTTAGAGCTGGCACATGTGCGTGTCCCTGTGTCTGTGTACTGGGTGGTGTCTGCTCTCACTATTACAGTTCTCCTTTTTATGTCTCAAAGTGAAGACAGAGGACATTCTACCTTGTGCTGAAAAAAATAAAAAGCACTAGAGGAGGTCGGGAGATATTCTTGTTTATGGATGAGCTACTTTCTCTCCCAATGGAACCTCCTGCCAGCAGAAATTTTTTTTTTAAGATGTATTATATAAGTCCCTGCTTACATTTAACTGACTGACTTCCTCTTACTCTTAAACAATTTATGTACTCCTTCTATTCCTGACAGGCCCACTTGCTCCTTGGTGAGGCTTGCTCACAGCTTTAGGATTTGCCACTGGCACATTACTGACAGAACATGATATGCTCTTCCCAGCATGGTGCACGACAGGTTCCACCTGCTCCCTCTGCAAAGCGTTAAAATAGAAGAATAATATCTCTGAGGTGCACAGAGTCAAAACAGAGGCCCAACTTTCAGCATCTCCCCCATGTAAGGCATGCCTCTGCCTCTCCCCAGAATCTTACAGCATCCATTCTCAGTGAGACCGTTAAAGCTTTGAGCTCCTGGATACTCTGGTTACCAGGCTAAGTATCACCTTACAAATCTGGTTATCAGCTACTGAAGAAAACTGAATGCTTAAATGAAGGGGCAGTCTTAGACCTACCGTATTTTCTCATTGCTCAGGAGCGCTCATTGGAGCAGCCCCAGCTGCACAGGTTTTGTCTTTAGAAAGGGCTCCTGGACTAGGGCAGGCAGTAAAGGCATTGCTATGGGAGTGGTGGGGAGTTGGGCTCGAGGGACAGCCAGGTCCTAATGACACCTCCCAGTCTCCTTTTCAAGTCCACTTTCTCTTGCTCCAGTGGCAAACTAAGACATGGGAGGCACTCATCATGCAGCACACATCAGCCACGCCTGAGCAGGCACAGCGTCCTCTTACCAAAGGCCACCTTAAGGACCTGCTCCATAATCTGCCAAGCCCTGAGTTAGAGTAATGAGCATCCAGACACTGGTTTAGCACCATTTATTGAAGACTTCAGGTGACAGCACAGTAGGTTAGTTTTGGATCGTGCCAAAAGAATGTTAAAAACAGGAATTCAGTGATACGTTTCCCCCACTTACTGGAGGGAAGCACTGAAAAAAAAAAAAAAAAAAAAAAGGAAACAAACAAACTTCATTCAATCCCTTGCCTTTTCTTGCTGGAGCTGAACAGGATGGTCTTGGAAGTAGAGGGAAGTCACAAGTTTTCATACCAAGTGCTACGTGATGGGAAGCAGGACCAAACTTGTCAGAGTGACCTACAGAGCCATTTCTGCCAGTGGTATCCCAGCAGCGAGGCACCAAGCTACAGAACAAGTGCAAAAGCAGCTCTGGTAAATTCAGGCAGCTTTCTGGTGTGCAGGAGCAATCCTGACTCACTTGCTCTGCACGAGGCATGCAAAGCACCGATTTTCCTTCCTGATGAGCAGATAGCTCCTCTGGGACCTGGCAAGAGAAACGTCAAAGGAGTACAGGCAAGAGAGATGGGGACAGGCAGCACTTCTGTGTGGGAGACTGGGTCTGCAAGAAGGATGTTGTGCTGCTTTTCTGTACTGTTAAGCGCTTACTGACAGCATTGCTGCAACAGCCCAGGGTTACATGCAAGCAACACAGACAACAGAGACTACTCAGGCCCTTCTGGAAACCTCAGAGGGCACTGTCTGCTTGCAATTAGTTTAAGTATGAGATGAAGCCATGCCATAACCTAACAAGACACTTTCGAACCACCCGGCTTCTTTATGGCTTCAGAATCGAAAGGGAGAACTTTGCTCGTGCAGCAATTTGCCTCGTCACTTCCTCCACTCCCACCAACAGCTGTGCTGCCCGGTGAGCAGCCCCTGTATGTGTTCCTCAGCTGTGTGACACCACGGTGACAGAGGGACAGGCAGCCCCGTGGGTGGGAACAGGAAAGCGCGATCAAAGGTGCGGGATGGGATGGGAAGCAAATAGCAAAGAAAGAAAGCGAAGCTCGTTGCTGCTTCTCATTTAACAGATTACAGAGTCTCTCTTTAAAGGTGACTCATCCAGGGCAATACCAGGCATGGTTTCTTCTATTAACACACCCTTGGCAATAGCAGTTCAGTTAGTCACTGACTGGGTATCAAGACGTCACCAGCTGGGATAAAGCATCCCTTAAACTTGGTACGGTGTCCGTAAGCATTTACCAACTTCGGAGACGAACTGGGACAGAAAGAGGAGATCCATCCCTCCTCGGCCCGCTGCCGCCCGCGCCATGCAGATCTGCCCTACCGGCATCCCACCTCTCTCACGGGGCGACGGCAAGCCAGCAGACGGATGGATGGCCGGGCAGACGGACGGGGCGAGGGTTCCTCAGCGTGTCGCTGCACCTCGTGTCCCGCTCGCGGCGAGAGGCGTCATGCGGGCGAAGCGACGTGATGCGGCCGCACAGCGATGTCCGAGGAGCAGGTTAGCCGCTGTCACACGCACAGTGGAGTCGCCGAGAGCACAATGTGCGTTAGTCAGTGGCTCACCTGCTCCTGGAGGGTGACGGGGCGGCGGGGCCCACCTGCGGCACGGAGGCATCGCTCAGCGCGGAGCGAGGGGCGAGACGCGACGCCGCCCGGGCTCGGTGGCGGGTCACCCCCCGGGGTCGGCCCGCTCTCGCGGGGGGCGGCTCTCCGCGCGTCCTCCCCACCGGCCCGGCCTCGTCCCGTTCCGTCCCGTTCCGTCGCTCACCTGCGCTCCGCGGCCGCGCAGCTCCGCGCTCCCCACGGCCGCCGTCGCCGCCGCCAACTTCTCCTTCTGCCCCGGCCCGGCCCACGCCGCGCGCCGCGGCCCCTCGCCCCGCCCCTCTCGACGCCCGCCAATCGCCGCTCCGCCCGCCCGCCCGCCGGCCACGCCCCCGCGCCGCGCCGCCCAATGGCGAGCCAGGCCCCGCCTCCCAGAGCCGTCCCCCCCACCGCCCCCCTCTCGGCGGTGACAGCGGCGGGCGCGGCGCGTTCGCTTCTGCACGTCCGTGCTGCGGGGAGGAACCATTTGTACCTGTTGAACCGCCCGCCCCGCTCACCCCGCCCCGCCGGGCCCCCGCTTCCCCTTTCCCTCACCGCCTCGCCTCACGCCGGCCCCGCGAGCAGCCCCTCCTCACCTCGCGGGGAGCCCCCTTCCCCCTCTCCCCGGATGACCCCCCCCACTCCCCTACCCCTCCGGCCCCCGCCCGCCCCCGCCCGGCCCATGGTACGCTCCGCGGGGCCGGGCCATCAGGGCAGTGTCGGGGCGCACGTAGGCGGTGCGTGGGGGGTGGGGGGGGAACCGTTGGCCACACGCTCTGCCCGCCTCCCCCCCTCCCCAAGGAGGGGCAGGTAAGGGCTCTCTGTGCCATCCTCCACCCAAGAATGTTTGAACCTACTCTGCATCCATCGCCAGCCCAGCATACCGGGCATGTTTCCCCAAACGTGTCCAGTGGGTTTCCAAAGAAGACCTCACACACAAGGGTTCCACCGTGTTCCTCCATATAGTAGCCTTCATTCTGAGAACTGACACCTCGATGAATTTGCTGAGCAGGAGAAGGTGCTTTATGGATGGGCATGCTGCTGTCCTCTTAAAGATGGGCTGTGAGCCTTCATCTGCCATGGCCAAAACCTTCTTTCAACGGCAGGAACTGGGGGGACGTGGGCATGTGAGAGCTCAGGAGGCTGGAAAGCATGCAGCTAGGGAGGTAGGGCTGAGGCACTGTGCCATGCTGTTCCCTGCCCTTGCAGCATGCCAGCTGTGTTGGTAAGCTTGTGGTCTGCCCGTACTGCTGAGGTTGACATCCAACAGCAGCAGGACCACGTTAAACACGTGCACATGCTATCCAGCAAAGGGCACCAGCTCTACATCGCTTTCAGAAACTTCTTTGACAGCAGCTTCTGCAGGCTTAGGGGTGTTCTATTCCCCCAGCACCTCCCCAGGTCCCAATGCAGTGCTTTGCACAGCATCCTTCCCACTGCACATCCCCACTCCAGGGTTAATCAGTCACTTGTGAGATGTAAAAGCAAAGCCTCACTCTCCAGTAGCTGCTGACAGGATCTCTGGCTGCAGTCCTATACCCAGCTTCCCTACATTTTTGCTGGTGTACCACAAGTCGCTCTGCTCTTCAGTACATTGCTGGTGGGGGAGGACAGGGGGACAGCCCCTTTCCTGCGTGACAGCCTGCAGAATAACAGCCTCTGTTGTGTTGTGTGTGCGTTATGTGGGGGTTTTGTTTCCACCCAGCAGCTGGAGGGAATAAGTCACGTACTCGATGTCTCTCCGGAACAGGGCTTGCACCCGGGCACAAGCAGTGCTCCCCAGGAGTGCTTGCAGTGATGCTCACACAGCTGTCTGCAGTCAAGCCTTGTGTGCTGCTCAGACCTCCCAGTGCTGTGTCAAATCACCCCGCGTGGAGCAAGGCCTGGAGCTGTGCCAGCAGCTGCAGCCGGCTTCAGCATAGTCCCGTAGAAAGCAGGATGGGCGCTGACTGGAGTGCTGCCATGCTTTGTGTGTGTGTGACCCATGAGGCAGCCTGGACTCAGAGCATAGTCTGCTGCTGACATTGCCCCTGCAAGCCACTAGGCCCCGGGGCTCTCCAGAATTGGTGGCAGTGATGCTTGCCCTGAGCCCCATTCCCCCCTCCAGCTTCAAACAACACCATTCAGCTGGCGGCTCAGCTCTTAATCTCCGGGATGAAATTTCCTGCTGACATCAATGGTGCTGCTGGAAGAGCCCCTGCTTATCCTGTCTGGGAAGCTCTTCCCTTTGTTTCCAGTCAGCTTCTAGCTCCAGCTGATGCACAGCGTCACCAAAAAGAGGATGCCAGCTGCATTGGGTTCTATGCCCTCTTATAATGGGGTCAGGTATCTGTTTCTCCACCGAGGGTGCTCAGGGGGCAGTGGAGAAAGCAAGCCCTGAGTAGGCAGCATTGGCACAGGTTTTGCTCTGGAAAACAAGGGAAAGAATGAAAAGGCCCTCGTTTTTAGCCCCAACACCCTGTCTGCTCTCTGACAATGCCCCAAGTGTTCTTAAAGGAGCACACACTGCCTGCAGACAGCTGAGACTGGAGCAGAGCACGGTGCCTGGTGGAACAGCGCTGCACGAGGGGAAGGCCGGGGAAAGCCGTCCTGTACGTGCGTACAATCACCCGGAGGAATGGGAACATTTGGGCTGGGATCAGCCAGTTAGAAGAAGGAAAAAAAAAAAAAAGTAGTCTTAAAGAGGTATTTAACGTGCCGTGTCCTCGCATGCCACGCAGGGCACGTGCCTGCCTTTGGGCTCGGCTCTGCCTCCAGCCCTCCGAGGCAGACACGCCCGTGTGTCTCCGGGCTCGGCCACATCCATGGTCCCAGCGCTTCGGGCAGAAGGGACGCGGGAATGGGGACATTCACCAGCCTGGGGAGCAGCGGGAGAGGCACCAAGGCCCTGGCGCACAAAGAAAGCAGGGATGGATGCTGTGAGCACCTCACCCCTCATCTTTCTTAACGAGCGCGTTGCACAGCTCCCCCCGCTGCCCGTGCAGTCGCAGATACCCCTGAGGGCGCTCCGCACCGCCCCCCGCAGTTCCGCAGCGGCAGAGTCGCCGCCCCGCTTCTCGTGACGGTTCGTTCTGCCCCCGCGCGGCGCGTGGTTCGCCCCGCCGCCTCCCTCCCCCCTCCCCCGGCGCCCCGCAGTGGTTAAGTCCCACGGCCGGCCCCGCTGCCGGTGTGACCCGGAAGTGTTCCCGCAGCACTTCCGGCGTGCCGTCCGCTGCGCGGCCCGGCCTGGTGATGTGAGCGCGGCTCGGCGCCGGAGACTTCTCCTTGCGTGAGTGCCGGCACTGGGGCCTGTAGACGGCAGGTGGGTCGGGGGAATCACCCGCAGATCCAGAGCCGGCTGTGGGACGGGGGGCGGCCGCCGCGTTCTCCGGACGCTCGGAATCGACCCGAGCAGCCGCGGCCCGGCCCGGCCCGGCCCTCCTGCCTGAGCGGGCGTCGGAAACTCGGCCTGCGGCGGGTTCTTCCGCGCTCAGAGCCGTGAGACCGTTGCCCTGCGGTGGCCGCCCGTGCAGCGGAAGCCGGGAGTTCTCGCTGTGACCGCCTGCGGGTGGGTGTCCTCCTTGGAGGCCGGCGGCTCTTTGTTAGGGCTGCACAAAAAGCTCGTTGGTATGCATTTCTTTCCTTTTCCGTGCTCACGGACAGCGGGGAAAGCTGTCGTTACGCTTCCTAGAAACGATGTGAAAAACATTCCGAGGGAGGGTTTTCGTTGTGGTGGATGCGCGGTACCGCGCGGTGTGTCTGCAAACAAGCCGGTGGGCTCTCTGCTGGGACAGGAATGGCACTAAGCATGCTGCTCCCACGCTGAGCTCCTGCATGCTCGATGCCAGAAGTGTGTCTGCAAAGACTGTGTGTTGCTCTGTTTGTGTTACAGAGAGCCTCAGCAGTGAGCTGCACGGCTTTGACGGACAGTACTGGTGTGGGATTTGGGGTTCATCAGTTTGGAACAAAGCCAAAGGAGAGTTCCTCATTCCCCCACCTGTCCCAGGGTGGATTTTTTTCTGTGCCTCATCTGTGGTGCTTTTAGGGGTTTAAATGATTCAAATCATTGCATAGGTGGTTTTGATAACGGTATTTATGAGTTAATCTTTATGGAACTTAAATGGGGGAATGTCCAATCTAAATTTAGATTTAGAGAGCTTTTCAAAGGCTCTATGTGCACATTACATTGGCACTGTGCCGGAGGAGTCTCTTAATCTGAATTATTCCCCACATATTTCCTCTGACTTCTACACTTAGAGTACCAGGTGTACCACAGACAGATTCTTTCCAACTTTGTACAAGAGTGATTTTTGCAGCTCTGTTTTTGTACACTTACTGTAACGTACGAAACGGAAAGCCCTTGGCTTTAATTCCAAATATGTGATGGTCAGTTTGAGGAAGAAAAGGATGATCGCCATAGTGAGGCTCCTAGTGGCTGGGAAACTGCACTTATCACCTGGTTGGGTTAAAATCCCTATTTGTAGCCATGTGTAAGGATCTCAGTTCAGTAAACGTTTTGAAGTGCTTGTTTGGTAAACCTGTATTCATATTGCTGTTTTAAATGTTTTATTAATGTACTGTGAGGCTCTGTTAAATGGGAATTTAAGAACAGGGAGTGCTGGGAGGGTGCACAGCATCTGCCTTTAGCAGCATCTTTTCCTGGTGTGCAACCTGCAGTTTAAGGGCCCCGTTTGCTGTTATGCAGCCTGCAGATGTGTGCATGGTGTCTGTGGGACTGCAGTAGGCTTTACTGGAAGCAGTGATGCTGGGCCTTTGAGGGACTGAATCCCAGGATGAGATTTTCAGCCTGTTCACCTTGTTCCTGATGTTCATGAGCTGCATGCTGGCAGGACATCCTGCCTCGCTCCTGTTTGCAAGGAGCTTTCAGAAGGAGTCACAGGAGGGAGGATCTGTGGATGTGAGAGGCTCAGCTACCTTGGGCCTTTGGACAGAGTAAAGCATGCTGAGTGCTTTGCCAGTGGGGTGTTGAGGGCATCCCGTACTCCAAAACTGAAGGCAGCTGTTGCTGCTTCAGTCAGATGGTTTCAGGGAGAGCTGCTCTATTTGCTCTGTCTGTGTTACCCACTAGCATGGCATTTGGGAGGTTTGTTACATAATCAACTTTCTATTTGAATAATTCATATGCACACGTTGCTGAAACGTAAAAATTCCTGGTGGAGACTGGTGTTCTGTTGTTTTTTTGTGTGTTACATCATGGAGGGACTGGGTTTTGATGAATCTGCATGTTTTCAGCCAGTATAAATCAATGCTCATGTTAACAGCCTCAAATTTAGCTAGAAGTTCAGTTGTCTCTTTAGGCAAGAATCTCATATCAAGTTAGGATATGTCCTGACCAAGAACCTGGTTGAATTGAAGCTTGATTTTTTTATTTTTTATTTTTTTAATTTATTTTTAGCTCCCTGAGCATTAAAGACTCAATTATAACTCAGTCTGGTTCAGTGAAAGCTGCATTCTGAAGGCTCTGAAAAGCAGTTGTGCTACGTGGCTGAAAAAGGGAGTGGATGAGTGAAGATCTGCATCAAGAGCACTTTAATAAAACATACTGTTTTGTTCCATAAGAGATTTCAATATGCAAGCTGTGTAATGCAGAGCAGAGAGTGGGAGAAGAAGTGTTTGGATTCTTGTGCAAACGTAGCAAAGAAGTTTCAGCATCTTTTTCTTAGTAAGATATGACAGCTAGCTTTGTAAATGCCACTTGATTGCATTAATCCATGATTTGTTTATAGAGCACGCGGTCTTTACAGTGATCCTTCTTTCTTAATGCTTTGTAGCATTGTATATTAAAAGCTGTGCTTTGATCATCATTATGAATTTGGATCATGAGGCGTCTCTCAGTACCTGTCATCTTTTCTGCTGGTCTCTCCTAGTGCACAGCAACTGATTTGATTGCCTTAATATGCACCCAGTGAAGTCTGCTCCTTTCTGTAGTTGCGTTCTCTGAGACTTTCTTATTCCTTGACAGAGCTGTGAAAAGGTCCCTTTAGAGGAAGACCTAAAGTGCATCATCTCTGTTCTTGTTCTGTTTGAATGGAGCATTTTGGTTGGGAACATGTACCTGTCGTTGTGTTAGGCCTCGTTCAGAGGGTGAGTTAACCTCTGGTGTCTTTCAGTACTGCTCTTTACAAGCAGTACACAGGATGGTTTCAGTGTTTGCAGGCTTTCTTTTCCTCCTTCCATTGGGTTACGCTATTTTGATTCTGGTTATGCAGTTTTCAGTCATTCAGGAGTCCAGGCTCTAATCTTTCTTCTGAACTGAGTTGTACAGGGAGCAGGCTTCAGCTAGCACTAAAACATCACTCAGAGATGAATGCTTACTGTAGGCACCTCTGATTTGAAACTGGGAGCACTAATCGGTGACTTTTGTCCTCCTACTCTGGCTAAGGGCTGCTGCAAGCAGTCTTTGCTGTAGCACCGTGTCCTTTTTACTGTTCACAGTTCTGCAAGCACATTTGCTGGCTGCTCTTTGCTGCACTGTTGCTTGCTGTGCACGTTCAGTGGTCATGGCCTCACTGACGTCTTCTTTCTTACAGGGAGTGGATCTCCAATGTCCTGCCATGGATGATGATAGCCAGGATGAACTGATAAACAAGAATGCCGCACTAGGCAAGGGCAGAAGGCAAAGTCTAGCATTCCTCAGTGAAACAGGTAAATGCAGCCTCTCTATGCATGCACATTTCTAGTTCTAGGGCTGAGAATGCCCTTTCTTAACCTTCAAAAAAAGTGAAGGTATATTTGTGACCATTTGTTTCTTTTTTTCCAAGGAAGTTTTGTTTTACTTTCTAAATGCCCGTGTCTCAGACTGCTGTCTTACTTCTGTTAAGTTCCTCAGATCTCCTTACTTTGACACTGCTGAGAAGGTCACTGAGGAAATCTGGGTTCTCACTTTTTTATATAACATCCCAAGCAGGGATTCTGGTGTGTCCTTCACTGTTCTGCCCATCCACATGTCAAATAGATACTTGCCCTTTTTTCTCCTTAAGAAAGCAATGGTGGAAACAGTTGTGAGTCAGAAGGTGATACTGGAAGTGAGGAGGAAGAAGATGACACTGAGGAAGAGGGAGGTGAGGAGGACAAGGAAGAAAGTGAAGATGAAGAATTAGAAGGTATGTGCATAACAAATACATTTTTTTCAATAATTGGAAGAAGAGTGGGATGAAAGATTTTCTTCCAGACAGTAACCATGAAATGTAAATCTGCAGATGTTGCTGTGTTAGGGTATTGGCCAGTGCCTCCAGTAATAAATAAATAAGTGATATTCCCCTGTATCTAGGTTTGTGAAGTGTTTATATGTTTGAGAACAACCCACTGGCCAAAATGATGTAATTGCAATCAGCAGGAATGACTAACAGTTGAGGGGTTCCCAGGGTGAGTCGAAAAAGATTGGAGTTACAGCAGTGGCTCATCTTTTTTCCACTTACAAAAAGTATGCTTGGTTCAGTTTGCTTTGGAGCTTTAAAATGAATATTGTGATAGGGAATTTTGGGAATAAATTATGATTCCTCTTAAGGCTTGGCAGGAGGGAGGAAGGTGACTTAATTTTTCTTAAGTAACATCCCCATTCACTTATTAAGCTTATTAATTTGACTGAAAACCTGGAGTGTGGATGCATATGCTTCTGAATCTGCTTCACTCAAATTATCATTTGGATAGATAGAAACTGTTTTTCATTGTGTCTTGAAGCTAACTTGGGTACAGTTTTCCAAGTTACTAATTGAACAGTCTGGTTCTGGAAAGTTGATGCTAGGTTCCAGGAAGCTTTATTAGTTCATCTTTTAGAATAATCATGTTTTCAATCAGGAAAAATTCATAGAAAACACAAGGGCTGTACATTTTGTTGTTGGTGGTTTTTTTAAGCTTTTTACATAACTTCTCATTCTTGAAAATGGCTACTTCCCAGGTTTTAGGGAAAGACACGTCTGTATTTTGTACTAAACATGAAAACACCTCTGTGATGTCTGAGTGTCTAAAATGAGTTTCACTCAAACTCAAATTTATTTAAGCAGTCTCCAGCTAGATATCCTAATTCCTTTGATTGCTATTTATTTGTGAAATCTTTACCTGTTCCACAGGTAAGTATAAATTGCTGCTGCTTGTTCTCTGGAGTGTCTGTTAACCAGAAGAAATGTTGGATGTGTGATAATTGTGCTTTTAACTTCCATGGTATCCTGAAGCATCCTCCTCTCTCGGTATTGTGTTCATCCCTTGTTTTTCTGTTGCCTGTCCTTCTAACATCTTGCAAGACTAGTGATGTTGCAAGGCTTTTTTTTTTTTTTTTTCCTTCTAGAGTAATATATTCCTTTTTAGTGGTGGGATTTAGGGAGGAAAAAAAGAATAGAAAGCAGCAGAAACCTTGAGCTGGAAGAGCTGTACTTTGTCCTTGACTTACTTGGAATTCTCTAGAGTAATATTCCCCACCCTGCCCTAGCTGAAGCCCCACAGCATGTGAAAGCTGTTTTTTGTCTCTCACTTTTTAAGACTGTGAAGATGATGATGAAGAGGAAGAAGAGGAAGAAGCTGAGGCTGCTGTGGAGGGAATGGCCAGTCCTCTCAAATTAAAGCCACACATGAATGGAGTGAACATCTCCTCTGATGAGGATGGTGAAAACTGCCCTATTTGCCTCAACACGTTTAGGGATCAGGCTGTAGGGACTCCTGAGAACTGTTCCCATTACTTCTGCTTGGACTGCATAGTGGAGTGGTCAAAGGTGAGCTGTTTTGTACTTCATTTCCTGCATCTTTCTGATGTGTTCTGATCTCTGATTATATTTTCTGCTTCAGTGAGAACAGATCATGTAATGTTTATATTTGCTTTCTTGAGCTTTTTCCACATAGGTTACTGCTTTACTTGTTAGGATTCAGAGTTGTGAAGCATGGATCTGTTTCTTGCACCCATCCTGATATGTTCTGTTCTCTGAAAGCTGCCATGCCATGAGCAAGTGCATTTCTAGACATCTAAAAGTCTTGGTCTTAAATCAAGACATCAGTAGTATTGGTTTTCTGTGTTTATAGCTGTATATATAGCTCATTAAATTCTGAGCTGTGAGGATCAGAGTTTGTTGCAACAGTGAACACTTATACAAAGGATAGGTATAGAGGATGACTAAATGAGCAGTTTGCTATGAATTCAGTCTTTTTCAGTCAAAGTTACATGCCACCTGTTGTAGATTCAGTAATCAAAGTCCAATAATTTTGATAATTCAGACTTATTTAAATGGGCTTGCAAGTAATTTTGAGTAATTGCTCATTCTTCTGGAAAAAATAGTGTCCTAAAATGTAAACTGTGTTTCAAGGCCATGTTTGGAAGAACTGTGATGTTCCTTTAGCAATTGAATGCTGATTAAATGACTTCAATTCTATTAATAAAAGCTTTGCTGAAAGTTCATATTTTCTCTGTTACAACAGTGTGTTTGTAAACCAGATAAGTTAAATTTAAGTGCTTAAAATGCTTACTACGTTCATTTAATGCTTATTATATAAATAATTGAAAACTTGCTTTCTAGAAATTGATTCAAGACTTCTTTATTAATTGCGTGGTGAAAATGGTTGTTTTTTTGTTGTTTGTTTTTTAATTATGTCTAGAATGCAAACTCTTGTCCAGTGGATCGAATCCTCTTTAAGTACATCAGCATTCGGGCACATTTTGGTGGTAAAGTCTTAAAAAAGGTAAGCTTTCTATTCTGGTAAACCAAAAAAGGGGTATATTGCCACTAAACAGCTGTTCAAAGTCTTACCTTTTCAGCATGTCTGATACTTGGCAGCTGGATGAATTCTTTCCTATTTTGAGATTGCCTTTTAAGGAGCTGTTATAGGTTTGGGTTTTTTTCCTGTTTAATCACATTTCCTACATTGTTATGTGTGGAAGCTTGGTGTTGGCTTTGAAAGAAAAAAGGATTGTTTGCATAACTGCATTTTTTGTATGATGGATGTTTGACTCTAAGGCGCTCTGCATCCATAAACCACTTTGCATAGGGAAGGTGCCCAGCATAGTGCAAGTACTGCTGTAATACAGATAAGATCAATGTAGGTTAATCATGATTGATCTGTTCTTTATGGCTTCCTACCAGTTCTGTTGTGTAGCAGTTGGCTTTGTAAGGGGAGAGAGAAGCCTGCAGTCAAACTCTTACAGGCACAGGTTGAGTCTGGTGATGGTTACTTACCATGAGGAATACTGAGGAGCTGTCATTGCCTTATTATTAATCAATATCTGAAACATATTGGTATTTAGAGGACATCCTTACTCTCATTTGTTTTCTCTTTGGATTCTTTTTTTCTTTGTTTGAGTACTTTTGATCTTATTCAGGAGTTTTGACTTCTTAAAATAGTTTTCTGTGATTGTCAGTGTCTGACAATAGACAGTTCAATGGATCTCTACTAGTGTTTGCTGTGTTCAGTGATCTTAATTGAAGGTTCAAGTGTGCAGCAGCCATTTTGCTGAATTCATTTGTAGATTTTGCTGGTGTTACTGCTGGTGTGACAGCAGATATTAGAAGTGGCATGTTCTGCATTTCATATGAATTTCTCTTTTATTTAGATTCCTGTTGAGAACACAAAAACTCAGGATAGTGAAGGAGAGGATGATCCAACCTTTTGTGAAGTATGTGGCAGAAGTGACCGAGAGGATCGCCTGCTGCTGTGCGATGGCTGTGATGCAGGGTAAGATGCACTGAAATGAATACAGCACCTGTGTGGCTGCAGAAAGTACTGCAGGGCTAGCTAGTGTTGGGTCAGCAGGCACCATCTGCTCGTTGGATTGCCCCTTGCTGCTCTCCTCAGCCTTGTCCTGTGGCCAGACTTACATCTGTATATTTAGCACAGACATCCCCATGACGTGATGCATCCTTCCCTGGCTGTGTAGTTGTAGAAAGAGCAGGTTTTCTGCATGGATGATGTAGGTGTGTTCTCCTGTTTTGATGTCTGCAGTCAACTGGTTGAAGATACTTGTGTTCACCCATGCAATGCATGGGTGCATGAGGGAATGAACACCTACATCATTTATGCCTCCTTAAGGGAGTACCTGGCTTGTTCCTGTTCACTAGGCTTTAATGCTATGTGTAAGAACTCAAGATAGACAGTTTGCATTACGTTTTGATGTCCTTTCTTTGTAGCCACAGCTATTAAATTATTATGTTCTTCTTGCTGTGTCTACCTGACAGAGGTTTGAGTGTGATTTTGAATCTATGATCTTCTGCTAGAGTTTAAATTTAAACACTGTTTGAATCAGTCTTGCAGCATTGTCAGTTTGATGTCAGAAGTCAGTGATGGAATAAAATGAGATACTTGTTTGAATGAATAGGTAAAATAAGCTCTTAAAAATCTTTTTTGCTGAGCTTACTAGATAGCCTGTGGGAGGTAAATGAGCAGCTGTATTCTCTCTGTGGGCTTTTTTGTGTTGCTACGGGATATGATTAGAGCATCAGGTGAATGCTCCTTCCCTTTTCTTTGTCCTGTGGCAATTGCAGTGTGAGCAAGTGAGTTTTGGCATGGGAGGTGAAGCAGAGAACTTCATTCTTTATGCTTTGAGATTTGGCATCGTGCTAGATCAGAAGTAATATGATGTTTTCCTGTTCTAGAAAAAATGCTTAGAAATGCTGCTAATTGAAGCTGAAGCTCTTACTTGAAGCCTATGCCTCACAGTGTTCCTTGGCTAAGGATCTTGGTCTCAGCACTTAGTTTTCATGGGAGGCATTTCATTTATTGGGAAGTCTTTTCAGCAGCGTAATTTGAACACGAGTTGCTTCAGATCTTTTGTGCTATTGATGTGTGTTGCTTTGTGTGTTTTTTACTGCCTGAAAACAGAATTGAACAAATTATGCGATCAAAGTTGGGTAATGTTAAGAGGCTTTCCTGGACACCTTCCCTTTAAGTGGTTGACAAGGCTAGTTACTCAGCATGTTGGGTAGAGAACAATTCAAAATGCCTGAGGGAGCATCCCACTCTCTTATTTCCCTTTTGAGATTTGTTGAGGATGAGCACAGTCCTCTGTAAGACAGCATTTCAGAGTCCAGTGGTTAGCCTCCATTCTGCAAGTGGCAGTGTGGAGCCATGCAACTGAGCAGCTATTTCACGTGGTTATAGAGGAATTCTTATCACTAGTTGTTTTCTTAATCAGCCGAGATGTATGTAGAATTGAATGCATTTATTCAACCTAAGGCATTGCAGATGACCTGTGGCTAGTTATGCAAAGTAAAACGTTCAAGAAAATATCAGTGATAATACCACACTGGTTCTCAGGAAATTGATGCTGTTTCCAGATTGTCTTGTCACCGATTCAATGACTTCTTTCCTTTCTCTTCACTATGTCCAGTTTGGGCTTTGATTGCACATTTGTTACAGTCTGTGTTCAAATGGCAAGTAATATTCTGCATGGTAAGGGAAAGACTCTTTTCTGAATGTTTTTGAGCCTTAAGTGCTCAGAACGCAGTCTGGAATTAAAGACCATCATGCAACTAGCAGTAATGTTGTTTCTCTGGAGATTGATAGGAGCAGATATGTGGACCACAGTATCAAGTTGGGGAAATAGTTTCTGCACTTAGGATTATTGCCTTATGTGGGATGTGGGTAGACATTAAAAAGCTCTTGTCCTTTGGTAAGGAGCACGTTGTTTGATTTGGTTATTCATTTATTTTCTTTTTCAAGGTATCATATGGAATGCCTTAATCCACCTCTGAGTGAAGTCCCTGTAGATGAATGGTTCTGTCCAGCCTGTGTTCCCATGGGTGTCGATGCTTCTGCAGGTAAGGATTTTGGCGTTGTTCATTAAAAGTGTTTTCCTCCTGATTTAAATGCTGTGAGGCATGTGGCCTTTTGAAGTCATGTTTAACTCCTGGGTTGATGCATTTGAAAATAATTGTTAGGCATTCTGTCCTTGAAACTCTTGACTGAATCATAGAATGGCCTGGGTTGAAAAGGACCACAATGATCACCTAGTCTCAACCCCCTGCTATGTGCAGGGTCACCACCCGCCAGACCAGGCTGCCCAGAGCCACATCCAGCCTGGCTTTGAATGCCTCCAGGGATTGAGAAAGAGTTCTGGTAATAACTGTAGATGAAAATCTTAAGAAACTCCACATACTGTACATTATAAGCAGTCTTCAACTTTCCTGAGGCTAGCCCTGGGCTTCGGTATGGTTGTGTTGTATTACACTGAAAGTAATTTATTAACACTCTGACCCGAGATTGCTAAAGTAACAGTGCTTTCTGACACTTAGAAAATCTTGTTTCTCTGTAACAACCCGCAGCAGTGTTGGTGTTGTCTGTGTTCATTTCTCTTTGAGAAGATCACATCCATGTTTGAAGGCAATTGATTTAGGAAAGGAAACGCAAACTTTTTTTTTTTTGTCCAAAGTTCTGGAAATGCTTTCACCTGTAGGAAGAAAAGTGACCTGGACATCTTTTCTTTCAAGATACAGATCATGTGAGTGAAGAAGAGGTTGCTGCACTCATGGCTGATGTTACTCCTACCACTAGCAGGCTACGTCCTCATGTCCGAACCCGAGCTATAGCCAGGACTCGGCAGAGTGAGCGAGTTAGGGCAACAGTGAATAGAAACCGAATCACAACTGCACAGCAAATTCAGGTACTTACAGATATTTGCTCCTGAGCTTCTGGAAGGATTTTGTGCAAGAGCTGACATAAGTCCCTACGTTAAGTAGCTGATCTATCTGAGCGTTGACTGTCCATAGCAAAATAGTCAGGAGCTGTGGAGTGTTGGGAGGGGGTGGTTTTTATGTTTGTTTCAGATTTGTCATCAAAATCACTATAATAGGAGGAGAGAACTTTTGTAGCAAAACCCAAATTATCTGAATTGGAGCTCTAAACACAGTCTGAAGTAGGTGCCTTTGGTTTTTATCATATCCATGAAAGGAGAGGAGGGTTAGGGACATTCTAGGGATATGATTGGCATGAGTATGGCCAATGGCAGCTATTCAGAAAAACCTCTTTCCAACCGAAGAACTGATGCTTCAGAATGCATACGAGTATGTGTAGAGAAGAAGAGGAATTTGAAACTTTGAAGGAGCAGCCCTTGCTTATCACAAGGAAGTGGTGCTCTGAAGATGAACTCACACCTACCATTTCAGTGAGTTTTCTGAAGAGGGAAATTGAAATGCTGCTGCTAGTGGTACTGCCTCTGCCTCTGGGCACATTTACCTGAGTATTAAAGAAGGAGGACTTTAAGATGGGGAACACATACTGCTTTGACTTTCGGTATTTGCTCATCGTGCTTTGTTTGATGAACCAAAGGTCTGTTCAGTGGACTTGGAAGTTCTTCTGTGCAGCTGTACACTCTTTGCAGAGTCACTGTTAGGATAGAAAAGACCTGTAGTGATGAAGGAGTTGGAAGGGCAAGGTCAGGTTCTCCTTCATGTAGTAATCAGTAGGTGAGAAAAGTGACATAAGTGCTTTACTGGCATTTTAGTTTTTCATGTTTCTCATTTGAATCTCAAATTGCATTTGTAACCAACTTGCTGCTGATCTTAAGCTGCCTGTATCATGTATCTTCTAATCTTGCACGCAGCACGTGCCAAGGTACCTCATGTCCTCTCTGCTGGATGAAACAATTGAGGCAGTTGTAGCAGGCTTAAACACAGCCATCTACCAACGTCCTCTTACCCTGCAAGCTCCTGCTAGACAGAAGAGAAAAACAGGTAAGAGCATCAGGAGGCTTCTATGGCTTCCATCTGCAAGAATAAAATTTGAGAGGAAAGGAGCTCGAATCATACAAAATACTTTAGAGCAGCTGTATGCTATCACACCTGTGCACGTAAATACATGACTTTTTATTCAAAAGCATCATTTAAAATCTAATGATTTCACTTCTTCTGTTTTATGCAGTGCAGCACACTGTAGATCACTTTGAGCTGCTTTGTATACTACGAGAATATGAGAAGGAGAGTATAGGGAACAATGCAGCACCAGCACTTAGCCAGATACTTGGTTGTCTTATGTCCCATCAGGTAGGAGGAGGAAAGCAGCAGGCAAGAAAAGAACTCAGACAAAATCTTCTGCTGGGAAGAAAACATCGGGGACACAGGTGAAGAGACGCAAGCGTTTGATGAAGAAGAGAAGAGGAAAAAAGATAAGAGTAAGATCACGTGTGAGTTTCTGCCAGTATCAGGATCCACTGACTTTCTGCCACTTAATTTATAAAAGCATTATTAGATGGTATTAAATGTAAAAATACCGTCTTGTAGTGGTAGTGGGTAGATTTTTCTTTTTTTCTAATGGAAATATCTGTAGAATGTGTACTTCCGAAAAGTGGTTTGACCTAGAAATGAATTGCAACTTCTAAGCAGGCCTGCTGGATTAGCTGACAAATCCTGGTACCTGAACTGTAGGGATCGTGCTGAAGGATGTCCCACAGGCTTTGTGTTGTGCTCTTGCCATAAAGCTCTAGAGTTTCATCAGTATTCATGCAAGCTCAGTTAAATTTTCACCACCCGTCCTTTTTAACAAGCTATGGATACTTGTGTCAATGTTGCTGCAAATCCAATTAGTCAGATATAAGGGCTCTCTAAATCCCTTTCAGTTGTGGTTGGTGTCCTGATAGGAATTACACTGGGTACTCTGACAACTCGACTGTTGTCCTCAGCCATCTTAGTGGGAATTTACATCCTATGTACAGAGCTGACGATTTTCAGTGACAGTCTTGTAGAAATTTAACCTGTCTGGTCACTGAAGTTAATACGTGAAGTGAAATCTAGGCCATGGTTAGATGTTCCACAAAGTTTTTGAAAGCAAATGGATGGATGTCGTTTCTATTGATGGTGGTAACCTGGTCACTGTGCTTTGGCTAAGTGAAGAATTTGTACCTGCCTTGAACATACAAATAACCTGTCTTTGCATCTGTGCAGGTAAAAAACGAGGTTACTGCTCGCTCCCGCATTGCAAGAACGCTTGGTCTTAGTAAACCTGTGCGTGGGGCCTCACTTCCTTCCATGCACAAACCAACGGAGCCCTCACTTGGTCTGATGAGAGCAGATATTGGTGCAGCTTCTCTGTCTGTGTTTGGAGACCCGTATGAATTGGATCCTTATGAAGGGTAAGACTTCCTGAGTGTATGAGACTGTAATCCAAAGATAATTTTACAAGTCTTGAGTTGTTTGTACATATGCAGGGATGTGTTTGTATCTTCATGAATGTTTGAAACCTGGGATATTTTGAGACTTTTAACAGTTCGAGTACTGGGTTATATTTTGGAGAAGAGCTTGTGACTTTGTGCAAAGAGTGTAAATGTCACATCTGAAAATAGCTTTGGATACACAGTTTATAATAATGTAATGCTGTACTTGTTCTTTCTTCCCTCCTTGGCCAAGTTGCTGAGCTCTTAAAGAATCAGCCTTCTTAAAACAGGTTTACTGAAATGGTAAGCCTCATGAAAATCTTTTGTAAGATCTTCAGACTCCAGCCTTTGAGTAATATCACAGGAGTCAGGTGCTAATAATTCTTAGTTTATTCAAATATAACAGCATTTTTGTTATTCAGAGAACAGTAAATTCATGTAGAATTAGGTAGAGCTGTGAAATTTTTGATGCTGCTTCTTTCCTGTTCCTTTCTCCAGGTGCTTTAAATTCTGGAGAAATCTTAGTATACCATAATTTGTATCAGTCTTAAGCTCTGGATTTTGGAAGTTACCAAATTTCCTACTGAGCAAACCTTTTTGTCAGTCCTTTGGAAAGAAACTATGCATCTAATACTTTAAAATTAAACACCTACGTTTGAATCTTTCTTTTGTTAGGCAGTTCTGCTTAGCAACGGAAAAGAGATGGCACAGGTCTTTATGTATCATAATAAAACAGCTAATACTCTCTTGGCACATGCGTTGTAATGGTGTTGTCCAGTTCATCCATTTGGCAGTAATTTGGAGGTTTGTATATGTTCAATCTACCCACAGTAATGAAGAGGTTCCAGCAAATCCAGATTCACCGCTGAGTGCCAAGAGGAGAGTTCTCTCCCAGTCAGCATTGAGGTCTCACTGTCCTGTAGCTAGACCTGTTTCTGTGGGACTTCCCAGGTAAAATTCCATCAAGTGTTTCTTCTGTTTTGTTCTTTTTAATTGTGCCACGAGTCAACAAGTGATCATTCTGATCTAACATTTTTCTTACCATGTGTATTTTGAAAAATGCATAGACAATGCACATGGGTAAATAAATAACCACAGCATTTTACACAAAAATTACTCTTTATATATCGAAGGCCCCACATGTATTTTTGTGTAATAGCACTTACAGCTCTTAACTTTCCCACTGAAATTTCAAATTGATATTTTCACCCTGGTCTCTCTCTTACTTTGAAGTTTAGGTGTAAAACAATTGCTCCCTTATTTAAGAGGGCAGAGGAAATGAGTTGCACGTCCAAAGGAGAGAATAGGAGAGAATGAGGGATGTACTTGCATCACCCATTTCCTATGCTGTTTGTTGGAACTCAGAAAACTGGAAGAACCTGTTTGAACCTGCAATTCAACAGGTTCTATTAAATTGTTCTGCTCTGCTTTGCTGTCTGACTGGTGTTTTATTTCCTCTACGTGTGTACGTGCGTGCACACATGTGCATGAGTCTCCCACTACTAGCCCCAATGGGGTTTCGAGACTGGGGCAAGGAATGCAGTGCAGAAAGATAGGGCAAAAGGAGCAGGAGCATGACAGGAAGAAAAGGGTTGAGGAAAACATCTGGAAACATATCAGCTGAGTCACAGAAAACTGCAAATCTGGGGCAGTTGGAGACTGGGAGAAAAGGAAGCTCATCCTAAATGGTTAAATGTTATAAGAGGTTTACATGGCTGTCTTCTAATCCATCTGACTTAAAGCAAAGATTTGTTCCTTGAGATTAAGATTGTATATTTCTATGATAGCTTGAAGTACTTCTCTTTTTTCTTTATCTTTGAGAGACTGAATTCTTTGACTTTCTTTATCTTTGAGAGACTGAACATGAGCCAGCAGTGCGCTCTGGCAGCTCGAAAGGCAAATGGGATCCTGGGCTCCATCAGGAGAGGGGTGGCCAGCAGGGACAGGGAGGTGATTGTCCCTCTCTACTCGGCTCTTGTGAGGCCCCATCTGGAGTACTGTGTCCAGGTGTGGAGCCCTCAGTACAAGAAAGACATTGAGATTTTGGAAAGGGTCCAGAGGAGGGCGACTAAGATGATCAGGGGGCTGGAGCACCTCCCCTATGAGGACAGGCTGAGGGAGTTGGGCTTGTTCAGCCTGGAGAAGAGAAGGCTGCGGGGTGACCTCATTGCAGCCTATCAATACCTGAAGGGAACCTACACCCAGGAGGGGAGTAAACTCTTCAAAAGGGCTGATAACGGCAGGACTAGGGGAAACGGTTTTAAGTTGAAGGAGGGAAGATTTAGGTTGGATGTTAGGGGGAAGTTCTTTACTAGGAGAGTGGTTAGGCCCTGGAACGGGCTGCCCAGGGAGGTTGTGGATGCCCCGTCCTTGGACGTGTTTAAGGCCAGGTTGGACAGGGTCCTGGGCAACCTGATCTGAATGTGTATGTTTGGTGGCCCTGCTAGGCAGGGGGGTTGGAACTACATGATCCTTGGGGTCCCTTCCAACCCGGGTGATTCTGTGATTCTGTGATTCTTTCCCATCTCTGTCCTGCAGAAAGCCTTCCAGGTAGCTTTGCGTGTCCTCTGGGGTAGTTTAAGTAGCACATTGCTTAGAAGGTAAAAATGTTTAGCTGAAATCCAATTTTTCCAAAGGTTTGATTTGCCTGAACTACAGTGAGTTTCTTTTTTGTCTTTTTTCTTTTTTTTTTTTAATCTTAAATAATAAACAAACAGCAAACCAAACATACCAGCAAACCACTGTAAGCACTCAAACCTTTTAAGTCCTTGAAGACAGGCTTAAATAAAATGAATCCAATAAAAATAGTAAAATCATGTTTCAAATCCAGAGGAGTTACAGTTAAAACTATATTCTTAAGATGGTGTATGCACAAAGAGTGGTGTTATCCCATGTGTGGGAGCAGTGCTGGTTTTCAGTGCAATTCTTTGCTATGCTCCTAGCTACCCTACCAGTAGGCATCTATGTGTATTTTCCTAACTGATGGCAGACACCGATATAAGCTGCATAAAGTTTGTGGGTTTTTTTTACACAGTAGTGTAGGTTTGAGGAGTATGCTTCTAATCCTGTTTTGGTGGGAAGAGACAGCTGGGATGGAAGTATCTCTGTGAAGTGCTGAACAGTGGCTTGTGCTTCACGAATACATCTTGAATGCTCTAAAAGTTAAATCATGATGCGTAACATGTAAAAACCATCATCCTTAAATAAGATTAGAAGTATTTGCTTAACAGAGGTCTGTGTTACGATTACATGCTTCCTATCTGGTGGTATTCCTGTGGGGATACTCCTTTTTGTCATAGAGATGGGAGCTGAATTACTCTAGTGAAGCCAAAGCTATAAGTGAACTTCTCTGGCTGACCTCTGTTTATGCCCTTGATTTTGGTTTCTTTTTAATGTAATGTGTGTGTATAGAACAAGTGCTGTAAGAGTAAAGGAAATGTAACCCCTCTGAAACATGCAGAAGCAGTGTACCTGCCTTGAGTCCTGATCAAGAAGCAGAAGCTGCTCCTGTGCCTGATCTGTTGGGTAGTATCCTGTCTGGACAAAGCATCCTCATGATGAGTAGTTCTGATGTGGTTATCAACAGAGATGGTTCTCTGACAGCAAAGAAAGCAGGTAAGAGTTTGGCACTTGATATTATAATTAGCCTGTTTGTTTTATCCCTGTCTGCCCTGATCTTATTTGAAAAGTGCATGCTGTGTAGTCTTTATGCTTTGTACTAAAAAGTAGAGAATTGGGTAGACCAGAGCAATCTTAGTACCCTGATCTTCTGTCGTTGGTGATGCCATGCCTGCAAACTATCCTTCAGTTCAAAGGGCATGATGAGGGCATTGGCAAGAAGTTTGTCTTCAGAAGTATAGAATACATGCTCTGCAGCTGTGTTTTTCATTGGCATGCTGTTCTTTAGAAATACTATACAAATTGAATCTGAGAGCATTATTCTTAAGATTACTACTGATAATGTCCTCTGCTACAGTCACTTTTATCAATCAGCAATTGCAGGATGATTAACACAGATGTAGTTCCATCTGCAGAGCAGAATAATTTGTTTCCTGAATATTAGCTGTTACCTCAAGGATGCCACTGTCTGACATTAAACCTTTATCATCTGACCTAATCAGACTACCTTTTTCCTACGTGATATGTCTGCAAGCTAAAGTGGAACTTAGAATGATTAGTTCCATATTTATTTTCATGTCAGGGAAAAATTGTGAAATGTGCCCTGGAAAACTTAATTGTTTGCTTGTATGCCATAGCTCCACTTCACAGAAAATCAGTAAAAGACTCACGAGTGGATGACGGTTCAGGACATAACCCCCAGCTGAGTACAGTGCACTCAGGGACCATGACAGGCAGCTCCATTTCTGGACCTTCTGTTTCTTCGGGGCTGAATACTCACTCTAGACCCACCTCATCAAGCTTATTTTCATCACCTTCACCGAACAGGACTGAGCCTGCAGCAAACCCAGCACAGACTACATCAGAAAAAGCAACTGTAAAATCGGAGTACTCAGTGACACCCAAGGTTGTTCAGACTACTCACAGCTTAGCTAGCCTGAACAGGCATGGCTCCAAGCCAGATGAAATGCCCAGATTTAATGGAAACTCTAAAGACTTTTCACGTACCCATTCATCTTCAAAGCCCCTGTGCTGTAACTTGAATTCTGGCTCAAAAGCTGTAACTGTGAGGCAACCATTGAAGCCACCTCCCAGAAGAATTGACATATTTGAGCTTCCCAGGATACCAAAGATTAAAAAGGAAACCAGCAGCAAGCAGGTGGATTCAGAACCCACAGGAAGCCAAAGCTGTGACATTCCCAGCTCCTGTATAACCCAGCTGACTGGCAAAGAGAGCACTAATCAGCTGGGGAAGGGTAGCAGGATGGAAAGTCAGAAGTCAAATGCCAGGGAAACTCAGCAACAAACACGTACAAGCGGGGTATCTTTTTCTACCAACGCAGGCATGTATAGCAGCTCTTCACTACTGGGCACTTCAAGAAGCAAAGGCTCAAGTTCTTTTGAGAGTTTTAAAATCAATATTCCTGGGAACACAGGACATTCCAGCAGACTGTCTAACCCAGGATTCTGTAACACCTTCCGCCCTGTGGATGAAAAGGTGCAGCAGAAAGAGAGTCCTTCAGCTCTTTTCTCAGTTAAGAAGAAGCAAGTCAAAAGTGAGATATATGATCCCTTTGAGCCAACTGGGTCAGACTCAAGTTCAACAAGCAGCAGTCCGGAAAGGTTTGGCTCGGGGATCCCGCTAACGAATATTACCAGGACGATTTCCATTGAAAATCCAAAAGTTCAAACATTTCAAACTGTTCGTCGTTTTACCCCTTACATGGTAGAAAATATCTTTGGATCTGGGGCTGAATCTGATGTACCATCTAGTAATACAGAATCTCATGATGATGTGCCAGTAGAAAGTAGAATTGTAGAACAGATTTCTGATGCAGAGGAACGAGACAATATGGATGAGGAAGACTTTCTGAGCAGTCCTTGCACTTCATCTGTTGTTAAGCAAGTTTCAAATGCAGAGCACTTAAAGGAGGAAGGTAGGGAGGGTCCCGATGTGTTCTTCAATGCTGAAGAATTAATTAGATCTAATATTAATGTGAAACTAGAACCAGATAGTTCATCAAAGAGTGATGGGCAGCAGAAGGTCCAGAAGGCGGAGCAAACAGAGCGGCGATCACGTTCCAGATCCTGTTCAAACTCCAGTTCCCGAAGCAGGAAGAAGGCTAAAAGGAAAAAGGCACTCGTCAAAGAGCGGAAGAGATCCCGATCAGGGTCTAGGGGCAGAGCACATTCAAGGGACCGAAGCTCCAGATCTACCTCTTGGTCAGGTGGAGAAGAGAGCAGTAAAATACACACGTTGAAATCCAAGAGCAGGAGGTCTTCTACTGACCGTTCCAGCAGTCACGAACGATCTAAAAAAAAGAAAATGAAGGATAAAACTAAGGATAAAAAGGCAAAATCTTCTTGGTCTAGGGAGAGAAAGAAATCTAGGTCGCGTTCAGGTAGTCCTGGAAGTAATTCTGAGTTTTATGAAAATAGGAAGAAGAAAAGACGGTCTCGGTCAAGGTCGAGACGGAGGGGTCGTTCCCGATCAAATAGTATTGAGAGGACAAAGAGGCGGAAACACAGGAGAGACAAAAGCTACGAGAGGTATGATAAAGACAGTAGCTTGAGGTCAAGAGACAGAAAGAGATCAAGATCCAGGTCTCGGGAGAAGAGAAAGTGGAGGTCTCGGTCTCGGTCTGCATCTCGATCGCAAGAGCACAAAAGCAGCAAATCGAAAGAAAAAAGACCACGATCGAGATCGCGTTCTAGGGAAAGAAAACGTAAATCAAAGGAAACCTCGCTTCCTCCTCCACCAGAAAAAGAGCAAAGGCCTCCAGCTGAAAACGTACCCAGCTGTCCAGAGCAATCTCATTCCTTCAAACAAGAGCCGAAGGATGAGCTGGTCCTAGAACAGCTTTCCGTAACCATCCAACCAGATGTCAAACTTGAAGAAATGCAGACTGAGACCCCAGTTCAGCAGAGCGAGGCCCAAGAAACTGCAAAGGCAGAGGCCACCTGTGAGGTGGTGGCGAGTGAAATTGCGTTCCCTGTGCCAGAGATCACAAACGTTTGTGTTCCTATTGGTAATGTGGATTCTTTTGCTGAAACAGAATTAATGAATACGAGTGATCCAGGACTGCTCGGTAGCTGTAGTAATACAAACCTTGAGATTACTGTTAAAATAGAAAATACTGCGTTATGTCCACCTCTGATGGAACCATCTCCAAAGAAGGAGGTTACAGTGCATGCTCAGACCGAGGCTGTGCCAGTTCAAAGCTCCTCTCAAACAGCAGATTGCGTGAGAGAAGTTAAAGATGAGTGCCTTGTGTCCAATGAGAAGACCAGTAATTTCAGTCAGCCTGAACTGGAGGTGGTATCTCAGGGTCCTGTGTTGAAATCTAAAGCACCTGTCAAGAGAGTTACTTGGAATCTTCAAGAAGAAGAAAGTGGTGTGATGTCTGCTGGAAGAGCGCCAAGTAAGTCTCTTGAGAAAGCAAACAGCAGTCGAAGCAGGCAGTGTAAGGCTTAGGGTGGGGGTGCCTGTTGTCTGAACTGGGATGATCCTGTGGTTCTCAGTCCTGGAAGCCTTGTATTTTATGCTTGTTCAATAACAAAGTGAGTCATGCTAATGAATTGGAGAGGACATGCTGTCACTTCCAGAGCTCGTCTAGCTGGTGGCAGCTAGGTTGGCTTTGAACCATATACTGCAACCTGATCTCTGAACTGACAGTCTATGCTTTTTATAGATAACTGGAATGATTTTCCCTCAGAATTTAAGACTTTTCAAAACAGAGTAGTGTTGCACGTCTCTAGCTCGCTCCTGTGAGCTGCGATAAGCCAGAGCTGCTAAGAACAGTCTGACTTGGCTGCCTGTGCTGAGTGTATTGACAAAGCTGTGTGGTTCTCGTGGAAACCCACTAAAAAGCAATTGCACAAGTGGATGATAAGTCCTCTATTATCAGAAGCTTTAAAATGTTAATGATTGCTAAACAAAGTCCTTTATAGACAGCCTTGTTGTTAGATCCTTCATTGGTTTTGGTGGCGTTCTGGGGTGTTTTTTGTTTAATGTACAATTGCTTTGAATCTTTGACCCATGAGGTTTATTTTGTTCTCTCTTTATTTTTTGTTTTTTATTTTTCCCTTCTCTTGGGAATCCAGGGATGCCGTTTTACAAACTTCAGCGAGCAAAAGAAGGGGTCTGGAAAGCAGAGGACTTGAACCAAACATTAAATCAGGTGCAGTTAAATGAGCCTCCTCCAACCAATTATATGATTCCTGAGCCTATGTTTCCTGATCTAGATTCCTCTCAGGTTGGTTCCTATTCTGACAGCCAAGTGTCATGGAAGGCATCCCACCTCATCTGTGCCCTCGTTGTGCAACACCCTCCACTCATGGCAGAGTTGGCCTTCCTCTGTGCATAGTGCATTTCATAAAGCCCATACTCCTCAGCAATCCTCTAATCACTTTATCTTTTAGGTGGCTGTTACAATTGAAGAAGCAAGTTTTCCTTTCATTCTGCACTGTATGTGCAACTTGTGTTTTCAGCACTTGCTTCATCAATGGTTATCTTGTTTGAGAAGCTGTCAGCATCTTGCTGATCGTAATCAGGCTGTAGAATTGGCCTGTTGGCATTAGTCTGTGCCATCAGTCTCTACGCTCTCCATCAGTGACACAGATTGGGGCTCTTACTAGTTCCTGGTGCACAGAGGGGAGGACTGTAGCTTTCCTGATTTAAACTAATATTTTCCTGCCTATTTCAGTGGATAAAAGGTACTCTGACAATCCTCATCTGATGCTCCCTCTTGTGAATACATGCATTAATGAAATTGTATCTGGTTCACAGGTGTACTGTCAAAATATACCTTTGACACCACCTCTGCCCTCAAGCCTCCCCCCCTACGCACCTGTCAGCCAGCCCACAGTTCAGTTCATCATGCAGGGCAGCCTCCCTGCACTGGGCTGTGTGGCAGGCCAGAGCCTGACTCCGGAGCCAGGCAGCCTGGCTACTGCATCTGAACCAGGAATTCAAGCTGCTTCTGTTGGAAATGAAGAAGAAAAAATCAAAGCACCAAAACCCGAAGTGGATAAAACGAAGAATGAGGAAGTGAGTGAATGCTACCAAGTTGCAAATGCATAACTAGAATTGCACGTGCAACCTGCAGTCCTGTTAATTGAAACATTAGCCATTATTTAGAAATTAGAAGCAGTACACAAATGAGCTGTTTATTTGAATTTAGTTCATAACTCTTAGAAAACCTTGACTTTAAAACATCTCATACATTCTCACGGTGCTTGAATGCATGAATGTTTGGAAGTCACTCTCAGAAAACCAGAATGTCCAGGCTTCTCCAAACACCTGTTTATTTGGGTTTTTTTTCCTTCTCTCCCTCAGTTTTGAAGTAAACATCAATATGGAGAGGTAGGACTGTATCCTGCTGCTAATCAGCACTAAAAATGCAGAGATAGTAAAATACTCTGGAGATTTTGCAAGTGCTACTCCTTTGCTGCCAGGTTTTGGATTTGCTGTACAGACGATCTGCTCTAAGCTCTCAGTAGATGTTAGCATAAAAACAGTTACTTTGCCAGATGTTTTATTTTCTACTATAACGTTAAACTGGTGAAATGATGTCCCCCACTGAACGTTCATTTCCGAGCAGCAGTTTTTAGGAATTGGATCTTACAGAGTAAGTTTTGATGCCGTCTCTTCTCCTTAATTTGTAGGCAACTTTGTAATTTTTAGAGCACTTGCAGAGATACCTGAGGCTTTCTCTGTGTGGCTGTGGCTTGCTGCTTTTAGATTCTGTCCCTATTTTGATGGACAGATGTTTACTTCAGAGCTTCCAGAAGGGAAGAAGGAGATGAAGATTAGCAAGTGATGTTATGTTCACTTGTTAACAGCACATTTTCTGGGACAGAATAGTGTTACACAAAGCAAGGATTCCTCGTAGCATGAAGTTGTTTCAAGATTTTTAAAGCAGATCCTTTCAAACTGGTTCTTACGTGGTTTTTTGAAAGGTGAAATGAGTATTTTCATTTATGCACTTCTGCATAAGAAAGTAGAGAAAAGTAGATTCGGAAAGTGCTTGCATGCTAACACATGGTAACAAACTTTTCTTTGTTGCACAGTACATGAAGAAGCTTCACATGCAGGAAAGGGCTGTAGAAGAAGTGAAACTTGCTATCAAACCCTTTTACCAGAAGAGGGAGATTACAAAGGAGGAGTACAAGAACATTCTTCGAAAAGCCGTGCAGAAGGTAAGGTGGCAGCAAAGGGGAGGAGCTGAGCAGTTAATGAAACAGGTGGTGGCCTATCAATTGCACCTGCAAGCTTCAGTCATTGTGCTTAATTAATGTGTGTGATTAAAATAGCAGATCTTTGGACTCTGACATGGTCTCCATGGTCTCGTGAAACACATTAGTTGCTTTAAGCAAGGCTGAGCAGTGCCATTGAGAGTTATCAGACTGTTGCTTTTATAAGTTGTTTTCAGAGGCGTGGATCAGGTGCCTTCAGCTGCCTCGGCTGAAATGTTACACGGCCCGTATTTTGAGTGGAAAAGGTTAAACCTCCTTCATTAAAAACTTCCTCCACATTTGTCAAGCTGCTTCTCCTAGGGTTAAGAAATAGTTTGTTGATTCCTTGGGCACCTGTGATGTCCCTGAACTTTAGAAGAGGGCTTAGCTGTTTGGCTGACATTAACTTTTGCCTCAAAACTTAGTGCTGACTGGACTGTGGTTTGGAAAAAAAGTACCTTATCACTAGAAAAATGCATGTTGTCTTGTGAAAGCAATTAACGTTGAGGTCGTTAAATGATACCCTGCAGAACTGTTTTCTCTCTGCCCTGCCTTCCTGATATCGCTGGAAAATTGTCGTAAATCAAAATTCCTGAGATAATGACTGCAGTTCTGCATCTTCTCCTCCATGGCGTGTATGAAACACAGATCCAGTTTGCAGAAAAACTGAGCAAAACCAGTTGCTGACGAAGTCACTGAATGCTTGTCTGAACAATGGTTAAGTTTTGAGTTCTCTAGGAGAAAGGGAGCAGATGCTACATGCCTTAGAATGGGTCCTCAAAATTGGCACGTTCTTTGTCTGAGCATTCCTTCCCCTTAAAATCTCCCCCCCCCCCCCCCAAAAAAAAAAGGGGAAATTAACACTGTGTATTGTGTGGAATTTGCTGGACTATGGCAGTGCAGTTTGGTATGTTAAATAGAAACCACAGGAAGGCCCTGCAATAGAAATGACTAATTCTGCCTGTGGAGACACTTTTGCACTCAGTTAGTGCTCAGTAGATAAGTGCTGGGGCAATTTCTGCAGTGCTTAAAGTAAAACATTACCAGTGAGCACTGCTCCACCTATTGCAGTGGCAGAGGTGTGAAAGCACAGCAGCGTCCAGCTCTTGGAGCTGGATATTACTTGTGTAGTAGAGGCAAGCTAGGGTTACAGGGCAGCTCTGATTTTGAGAACTTCTTACCTAGTCTTTGGCCGAGCATAACGACTGTGTTGGTGTTCTAATACACTTGTGGGTGCAGTCATACATGTTTCTGTGGAAGTCATTAGCTTGGGCTGTTGTGCCAGGCTGTTCTGACAGTTGGATAAATCTGCTCAGTACGTTTCATTGTAACGGAGCAGAGGCTGAACTTTAAGACAGACCATGAATTGCAGCAGTTATCATGGATAGGAGTTTGATATGACGTGCTTGAGTGCATTTAGACCAAGATATGTTGTACATCTTACAAATAACTACAGAGGATAGACCTACCCTGATGCTGGCTGGGAACTTAATTATCCTTGTTGAGTTGTCTGCTTTACATGCCCTGGTATGAGGCTCTAGGGCCTTTGCAGGAGTTGGTTCTTCTGGGAAGCTTAGGGTTTCTGATCACTTGTCTTCCTGAGCTGTCGTGATACCTTTCACTGACTGAATGCCTTGTCTAATCCCTCATAGATCTGCCACAGCAAAAGTGGAGAGATCAACCCTGTGAAGGTAGCTAACCTGGTGAAGGCATATGTGGAAAAATACAAACATATGAGGAAGCATAAGAAGGCTGATGTTGAAGATACTCGTGAAGTGGAAAACTGAGAGCAAGCTTGCAGCTGATGTGACTTGATTTGAACTTATTTTGGCTGAGAACATTGTTCCAGAAGGAAAAACAGATCTGCAGTAACATCTCATCAAAAACCGATTGCAGAGAAGCAAGTTTATGATAGGATTTATCTGCTGAACCTGCTTTTGAATTGTTTCCATATGGGAATGAGCTTGGAGTTTTGTTTTGTTTTGTTTTTTTTTTATTACCTATAGATGTAGAACTCAATAACAATCAAATGCCTCAGACCAGCAGAGTAATTCCAGGAGAAACAAAGAAGAGATTTGTGTTTAGGACTCCCGGATTGCTACAGTTTTCAGGGTTACTTTGATCACGTTTTTGGGGCTGTGCACCTGTCTTGCTAAAAGTTTGAAACTGGACACCACTTTTCATATACAGTATATTGAGAGTTATATACTGTTTCCCTTGTGTTTATTTATCGAAATATGGATTGTCTTTAGGAATTTCTGATTTAATACTTGAAATGTGGTATTTTTAGCCTGCTCGATGGTGAGCGAAGCTTTACTCGCTCTGTCGTCTGGGGATTGCAGAAATGAGCTAACCTTTATAAATTGACTTCAGAAACACTGCTCGAGGCGTGGTGTTGATTTTCACTCTGTTGGAAGTATCTCGTTAGTGAAAAGTTTAATTTTGGGGAGGGACATTATGTTGCACTTCTGTAAATAATGCACTGATGGCTGGTTTTATGTCTGCCTTTCAGGAAAAAAATGAAACAAAAAGCAAACGTTGTGAATTTTCAGTAACAAGCTTGAGGAACAAGAGTGAACTGATGTACAAAGCAGAAATGTGACAGAATTTATAAAGTTATTTTGAATGGTTTTAGTCCTATAGCAGGTGTCATTTGTTTGCCTCTTTCTCTGGCCATTCTGTATAAACATGCACACATTAGGAGTACTCTGTTTCTTGAGGATTGGAGTGGGATAAGTGATTGTTCCTCCTAGGAAGGAGGAGGAGGACTGCTTTTCTTCTCAAGAAGCAGGAGATCTTGCATGTGTAATAACTTCATCTGGCTTTCTTTAAAAGCACCCCTTGTTCACATGTACTGCAGAGCAACCAATGTTTAAGTGATCCTTTGAAATACTTAGAAATACATTCAACACCTTTCTGCTTTTGCCTGTGTTAGGAAGAGGGAAAGCATTAAACGAGGAAGCTGAAGAGAAGAATTGCCTGTTTCTTTCCAAGGGAACTACATATGAATATAGCTGGTCTGTTGGAACACTTAGCAGCAGTTCTGAGTGCACATGGAAACTACCTTCTTTGGTCCTGCTGCTCATCTTACAGAGAAAACAGGCTCTCTGGGATGATTGTTTTATCAAGCACTTTTTCAACCTGTATTTCTCCTGATGAGCATGGGATTAACTCACAAAAAAATAGCAAGGCCCCTCATCTGTTGCTGACATGCCTGACTTTTCAGTGAGCTCTGATCTTCTGACCTCTATTGTGAGGTTTCTGAGAGGTTTCTATCTGCATACTTGCATAGTATAATTTTGACTGTGCTGGGTTTGGCCTTTTTGTTTTTATCCCCAATCTGGCCTAGCAAAACACCTCACTGCCACATTTCAGTATCCTAAGATGTGCTGGTGACAAGCCCAGAGCATTTTGGGGTAGTTTTTCCTGCTCTGTTCTTCGGATGAAAGTATAAATAGAATATGAACAAAGAATTAGTAGGTTCTGGGTTCCTTTGAAAATTTTGGAATGAATCCTGTTTTTTGGCATACTATTCTCCTTAGTACCTCAAGAGAATTTATCTGGTAGAGAAGTCTTAGTTTTAAAGCTAAACTTTTTCTCCAATCTATATCTAATGGGTAGGTATGGGATTGTAAATAGAAATGCTGCTTATAGAATTCTTGACAAAATAAAGTTCAGAAACCTTTGTGGCATTGCTGATACAAGAGGAGAGAGTGATCTACATTGTGAATATACCTAAATTGAAAATGAAATGCTTTTGGGTTGTTGTAGGAATGACTCTGTATGACCCACATACACAGAGAAGGGCAGCTAGTGTGAAAAATAAGGTTTAATTAAATAATGGAAGCAACTATGCTCTTGGCGAGAGAGACCATAACAAACACTCTGGTTTCTCCTCAGTCTGATTTTCTGCATTAAATGTTTGGTGGGTCGTAGCCTTGAATTAGCAGTAAAGATTGCACCCTGGCACAAAGATGTATCAGCAGTGTATATATTGTTAGTGATGTTATGTTTTAATGACATCTGCACCTCCATTGCCTAGGAGAGCACTGAAAAACCCACACTGCAAGTGCTTACCCTTAAGTTATGTGAGGAAGAATACTGAGTCATTCTATCTACTGTTGAAAATAAACTCATGAAATTGTCCCACTCAGGGGCTGGCTTATGCTGAGAAACACACCTAAAAATGCCTTTTCCAACACGTTACACAAATTATTTTTCTCGTATTCTGTTGGCATTCTTTTTGTTTTCTGCCTTCCTTGGATTGGGTGCTTCCACCTACTTAGTGGAAGAAGTTCTGTCTATTGAACGCATGCCACAGTTGGGTAGTAATGTAACCTGTTGCTGTCCTTCCCCTGCTTGTCAACACCACCAATGGAGGTTGACTTGAGACCTGCTCCCACGTGATCTTCATCACGTAGATGACTTCTAGAGTGACTTTGGGAGAGGAGATCTTTGTAAGAATAAGCTCTCTGAGTTTTTGTGCAGTACTATTGAAACAATTAAGTTGCTGTGCAGTTTTGCTATTTTTCTGTCTGAAAAGAGAATGCAAATAGTGGAGGGCCTGAGAAGGGATCGGCTCCCAAGTCCTCGAAATTCCAGGCACTTAGTAATAGGAGACTGGGATCCCTTCCTCTTGCTACTTGAGCATGGTGAACGAGGGCTTGGTTTCTGCCCAGGGTGCTGAGGGCTTGGTTTCTGCCCAGGGGTGCTTGCGTTGTTAGGAGCTGCCCTGGGGATGGATGGAGAAAGAGAGGGTGTGTTACCAGGCAGAGCACAGGGAGGAGGGGAGCCAGGCAAGAGGAGGAAACGAAAGGGAGAGGCTGAGCAAAGGGAGGATCCAGCGAGTGCCACGCTACAGAGCCATGGCCCAGCCCAGAGCCTGTGAGTAGCTGCCCAGAGCTTTGTGCTGCCCACAGGGCCTGAGTCAGGTGGTGGTGGGGATTCTAGGGCTTATCTTTCTAGAGGAAATGGAGGAGAGGTACTTGAAAGAGGGTCAGAGCTTGCTTTCCAGTTGGGCTGGGTGTTCACTCTAGGTTTAGCTGGTAGTGATGAAAGCTGGAGAGTCACTCCTGAGCAGGGCATCTTGCACAAGGGAGTTCTGTGTTGGCATTGTCTAGCAAGGAAGTGAAACAAGGGAGAGGAGAGCGAGCTCAATTGTGTTTTGTTCTGGTGTTTTGACATCCTCATCGCCTAGCCCTAACTCTTCCCACGTGCAACATCTTTTACTCTAATTATCCCCTTCTGGGGCTGCCTGTAGCCCATCTGCAGCTCCCTTCGCCTGTTCTCTGGAAAACCCTCACCGTCCCTGCATTATTCCCCAGCGTCAGGCTGGGCAGCAGCAGCAATGAGAGGAATTGCAGCACCCATCTGGAGGGTGAGGATGTGAGAGAGGAAGTGTGTTCACTATCCCTGGCCTCAGCACATCACCCAGCTGCAGGCTGGATCTGGGGCTGAGCGGCAGTGGGAGGGTGAGTTATTTGGAAAGCAGCTCCATCTTGCTGGCCCACAGCTGAGATTAGGACAGATGAACGCTGCTGACGTTCTCGTAGTGAGAGCAAAACTGTTACTGTGGCTCTTGGGTTACTGGTCAAAGTCTGGTGGGCACCATTTCTTCTACCACTGTGTGTGCTTTCAGGCCCAGACAACATCCTCCTGCTGCGGTCATACTGTGCAGATGGCTCTTGTGTTTTACTTCTGCTTTTCTGTCTCAAAGTTTTGCCAAGCTCAAGGTCTCAAGGGACCGGATGACCCGCAGCCATAGGAGTGAAAGTGTCTCTTCCAACCGGTCCTTACCTACCCTTTCTGTCCCACATGCCAGTTCAGGAGCAGGACTGTTTGCGGGAGGTGACGCTCTCTACCCAAAGGCTGCGGGTGCTGCCTCCAGCAGTCCTCAGTAACCCTGCTCTGGAAAGCCTTGACCTCGACAGGAACAAACTCAGGAGCATCACCGGCATTTCCAAACTTGGCAACCTGAGGAAGCTCATCGTATCCAAGAACGAGATTGTGGACTTTCCCAATGAAATCCAGAGCCTGATCTATTTAGAGAAGCTTGAACTGAATCAGAACCAGATCCGAGTCATCCCAGAGGGCATCTTCTGCCATCTCCCCCGGCTTAAACACTTGCGGCTCAACAACAACCGCCTTGGTGCTCTTCCCAGGGACCTGGCAGCTTGTCGAGGCAGCCTCCAGTACCTCAACATCTCCAACAACCTGTTCCGAACCTTCCCCCAGCCTGTCCTGCAGCTGGCGAACCTACAGGAGCTCCATGTGCAGAACAATGCCCTTCGCCAGCTCCCCAGGGAGCTCTTCCAGGGACAATCCCTGAAAATGTTCAAGGCCAACGGGAACCCGCTCAGGGAGCCACCCAGTGAGGTCTGTGCTGGTGGCATCCAGCAGATCCTGAATTATTTCAGCCAGCTTCAACACGGTTCAGGGCAGGAGGACAAGAGGATCAAGACCATGTTCCTGGGTGCCTCGCTGGCTGGGAAATCTACCATCTGCAGAAGCCTGAAGCAGAGGCAAGCCAAACTGGTGCCCAAGGAAGAGCGAACAGTTGGCATAGAAATCAGTGAGTTCCGGCTTGAAGACTTCACCTTTCTCTTCTGGGACTTTGCTGGCCAGCTGGAGTATTACATGACGCACCACGTGTTCATCACACCACAGGCACTCGTCATCCTTGTCATCAACCTCCACATGTAAGACCTGAATTCAGGGGAGAATGGGAGAAGGAAATTTGAATTGGTAACCTTTCCCCTTCATTTTCCACTGCTGATGCCATATCCATTGCACCTAGATAAGTGCTCTTCTCTCAAAAGCTTTAACTAGCTCTCTGTCTCCTTCTTTCGGTAGACCACACATTTTATTAAGCCACCTTACAAAATTCCTCCCTTTTGAGTCACTAGATGTATCTTAATTTGCGACAATTTATGCGATTGTCATCTTTGCTTTCTGCATTCTCAATGCCTCTACATGGCTTCTGCTGCTCCCTGAAAATTGAAAGAGGATCTGAATTGGGCTTTTTGGTACAGAGAAATCCTGCTCCCATCCACAACATGGGAGGAATCTGCTACAGCCCCCAGCTTTAAGTGGCTTAGACTAAGGATGGGCAACTTAAGGATGGCCTTGGGTATGGTCCATGACAACTTAGGACATGTGAGTTCTTTTTCAGCTAGTCTCTGGGACAGCACAGGGTGCATGGTTAAGCCTACATTTCAGGAAAAGCATTAGATGTGAACCTGGAATTTTCTTTCTCTTCTTCTCCAGGTGCCAGACTAATGATGATGCTTTCAAGGACCTTGTTGGCTTCTGGATCAACAACCTGTTCATGCGAGTCCCAAACTCTGTGGTGCTTCCTGTGGGAACTCATGTGGACTGCTGTCAGAAGCAAGAGGTGGAGGAGAAGAGGTCCAACATCATGGCCAAGATTGCGGCCATGCTGGCGGAGAGGAAGAGCAACCTCACTCACTTCATCAACAATCTGGAGGACAGTGAGGAACCTGAGGTTTATGTGGACCAGTGGGAGAGGCTGAAGGAGATGGAGAGTTGCACATTAACTGTAGGGTTGAGATTATTGTGGATTTACTGCAGCTGGAAGGGGAACTAGGCAAGCTTGCAGGATTTGGGCTTGCTCACATGAG